GGGCCTTAGGAAAACACCCCCTTGAAAAATGGTCGATAGAATTATGGGGGGGTACCGGTTACAAGATGACGGTACCCTAAGTTCGGCTCGGTTCGATGGTCTCAGAACAGCTTCTCAATATCTTAACCCGAGACCCACATTACATATGTGCTCGAGACTTGTTGTCGGGAGGCTGAACCGAGGGCCAGTATGACATTGATACATGACTGTTGAAACTTATAATCACAGTAGCCGGTAGTGTACCCCGGGCATAAGGGGAACGAAGTAAGTAGTTGGTCAACGCAAAGAGCCATGAAGCCAGATCCGGTTGCAATCTGGAAACCGCAGCAACTCCTTCCAACCAGCCATCCTTGCAGCTCAGAAGGCGCACTTCTCTGAGTTGCTCGTTGACATAGTCATTGAACGGAGTTTCTCAGCTGAGAGTCAAAAGCTTTTGCCATTGGAACCACCTTTCAGCCTTTCCTGCACTCCTTCTCGCCACCTCCTTCTCTCCGCTTTCAAACGACCCAACTTGCGGGCTCTTGCGCATTGCTTGTGCTCAGATCATCTCGCAAGATGACGGTCTCAACAAGGCACACGAAGGTGAAGAGTGATAAGTTCCAGAAGAATATTCTGAAGAGAGGGGAAGTACCAAAGACTTCGGTAAGCTTCTCCGGCAATCTGTAGCACTGATTGATCTGATCTGGAGATAGAGACGTCGATGAGCCATGGTTCTGCGCCTACTTTGTTCGTAGCTCAGGTCTGGCTTGCTTCGATTGTTTTGCATTGTGCTTTTAAAAGAATTTGGAGCTGACAGTGTCGAGCTCTTGTTCAAGATCGGCGTCTTACTGGTCGGGTTTTACCTCACCGTATTATTCATCTATTGTTGATTGACTTATTTCCGATTCTTTTCTGTTTGCCTGATCGCGTTTGCATCCTTAGGATGGATTGAAGTAAGAAGGGCCCTGGGGACACAGCTGTCGTGTTTTGGTGTGAACCTTCATGTATGTACCTACGGAACTCTTGGTGGTGTGATTAGGGTTTGATTGAAGACTTGCCAGCTTCTTTAGCCAATCGGATGAGCGCAAGGTGCAATCTTCTTGCTGTCTCAAGTGCACGGATCGCTTGCCCGCTGAGCTTTGCTTGAGCTAGCTCTCTCGTTTGCATCTTTTGAGAATAGGAAGCTACTAGAGAATGAATCAGCTCTGCCGGTTTGCTTCTGACTTGGGCAACTCTGCGGTGTGATGAAGCTCTACTTAATTAGACATATTGACCTGTCTCACCTTGTTAGCCTTCTGATCATCCCGGCCGTGCTGAATATTTGGATATTGCAACTCGCACAGTGGTTGAGGCAGCTTGCACTGAGTCAGGTTTGCTGTCTTTTGTCAAATTTTCTGAGGCACAAGGGCAGATGCTGAGGCAAAGGTCTGGTACAAGAATTGGGTTGTCTTTTGTTTTGTTTTCCTTCTTTTTCAAATTGCACACTCATTGGACGAGTCACTACTAATCTGTTTTGTTGGGACCCAATAGCCAGCATCTGACGTCAGAAAGTGGTCTTTGTTGCGCAGAAAAAGGAGGCCAAGTATCCGGTTGGCCCCATTGTCCTGGGCTTCTTCCTTTTCGTAGTGGTGGGCTCAGGCGAGGGCGTTTAACTTTCCTTTTATCTGTAAACACCTCTGTTTCTCAGCCTCTGATGTCTGCAGGTGTTCGTACTTTCAATGTATGTATCTTCATCTGCTGTCAAGTGTGTGTCTATGCATGACACAGAAGTGGCGAGGTAATCAGACTCTTTCGTTCTTACTCTCTGGTAAACTCATCTTCGACTTCGTTTCTGTGCAGCAATTCTGCAAATAATCAGGCAAGCGCAATCGGGTGCGCCTGTTGGTTAAGCAGAGCGGCCTGAAATAAGAGCATGTTGAGGTCGTCTGGTGTGTCCATTTGAGGAAGCACTACACGGGTCACTTAGAAAAGATGAAAGCGTCCAGACAAAGGTCAAGAGCGCCAAGCGGAAGAGGGAAAGAACTTAGAAGCAATAGTGAGCATAGAACAAGCGGAAGCGTCGCAAGTTTGTCTATTCCATATCAGTACGAATCACTTCGTTCCGGGATGGCTTGAATGTAAGAGGCGTGTGTATTCTAGCTGTCGTCCTGCATGCATTGGAAGCTCTAGTTGGCCGCTATATGTATTTCGCGCGTTTCGAGGTTAACACATGGGCCGTTACGCTTCTTGCCGCGGCCACAGTTTCACCACAAAGTTGTCAAGACATGGATGGGACATGTACACCTAGTCATGCAGTTGTTGCATACAGACTCATCGAGACTGAGTAATGCATATGATATAGGTCATGACAACTGCAAACGATCAGCCTGGCCTGAGGTAAATTCAGTGCAATTGGCATACGGTTATCTCCCATCTTTTGCACTGGAGCCTGTCTGTTCCTTGCCAGTGCCCCGTTTTCAACGATGATACCATGCACCATTAGAATGGGCTTTGTGGCTAAAAAGGCTTTCTACAAGCAATGAACTCCAGGATAATCAATTATTGCACCCAATGTATTGTCTATATCATCCTTTTCTGGATTCTCTAGGTTGTATGCAGCTGCTAAAATTGACGGTAAATGATATCACTCGGACATTGGACGCTCTCATTTATCTAGAGCTCGAGTACTATCAGGCGGCTGGAGACCTCCAGATTCAGACACAGTGTTTTATGCGAAGGACTTTTCTATGATCGCGGGAAGCAGCTCTCGAAATTATTTGACATTCACCAACTCCACATCGAACAGCAGCGTAGCGTTCCCAGGAATGTCGGGAGGGGCACCTCTAGCACCGTACCTGCAGATTACAGAGGCGCGGTAAGACTTGAGAATTCAATCAGTCTTGAGTACACAATCAACAACGGGTTCTGCGCACGGCCGGACTGGGATTTGGAAATCCGCAAGGACCAAGATAACCTTCAAAGAACTTTCAAAGAACGTCCCCGAACCATATCGACCACAGGGCCTACAAGCGATTCGTGAACAGTACAGGCGTTCTACCCGCACCGTGAACAAAAAGTTGCAAACCGGGCATCAAAGCATTACACCTAAGCTTCGAAGAAGCAGTTTAGAGCTGTACTTGAAAGAAGACCAAGCATTGGATTCAGCAGGGCGGAGAGCTTACCCCATGGATGGTGGGATCGTGAGCCTCCTCTTGTCGCCGACTCGCATGCCTGCAAAGGTCGCATGCAAGGTCAACAACTCTGTTGCAAATCAAACCAGGACTTTGACAGGTGCAAGACTCTGAACTTGCAAACCACCTCGTTTCTCGAGATATCTGAATTGTTGCTCGCTTTACAAGTAGTGAACCACCCTTATGGTGAACCACTACTTAACGAACCCACCTCATAAAGGAAAAAGACCTTCCTTCTAAGCCGTCGATCCCGTCGAAGCGCAATCTCTCAAGCCGCTTGACAAGGCCACACCCAAAGCAATTCTGCAAACCTGAACCGACCGGAACCCAAGCGCTCAACAGGAGAAGAAAGGACGACCTTGAATCGAACATCGCAAGACGAGCTCTCACCTTCGATGCCCTTATCCCAGCCCGATATCACCTCGCCGATCCCCAACCGGAACGAGAACGGCTTCCCCCTTGACGCGTCAAACACCTTGCCGTTCTTCGCCAGCTTGCCCACATACTGCATCGAGATCCGCTTCCCCTTTTCCGCCCGCTTTCCGTCCGGCCTCCCCATCCCTAGTTCCTCAATCTTGAGCCCGTTGGGGAACTCCCGCACCGTGCCCTTGCCCCCCTTCCCGGCCTTGGGCGATTTCGCATCCGCGGGGGGCTCCCCGCCCTGCTTCTTCTTCCCCCCCGCGTCGACGCGCTTCTCCTCCACCGCCGGCGCCTTCTCCTGTGACGTCACTCCCGTCGCCTGTGACGTCACCGCCTTCTTCTCGGCGACCGCCGCACCGTTGGGCGTCTTCTCGGCCTTAGGCTTCTTTTCCGCGGTAACCTTTTCCGCCCCGTTCGCACCTTTTCCGCCGGGCGTCTTCTCCGCTTTCCGCTTCTTTTCTGAGACTGCCGGAGTGGCCTCCCCTCCGGTTTTATCTCCCTTCGGCGTCTTTGCCGCTGTTTCTGAACCACTCGCCTTGGTCTTTTCTAGGGCGGGCGTCTTAGCGGCGGCTTCTGCTTTCTTGTTTGGTTTAGGCGTGCCCTTCAGACCACCGTTGCCGGCCTGCGACGCCTCGTTCTTCGTCTCCCTGGAGAAGAAGCCCTTCTTGAGAGCCAAAACTTTTCGTCCATATATCCTCTTCTCTCCCTGCTCCATGTGCTGCCTGACGGAGAGTCTCAAAAGAACCTTGAAACTTAGCGAGAAAGCGTAGATAGACTTGCTGAGATTCGCCAGGTCTAGTATCTGAAGTGGCCCATTACGCTGTTTTGAAAAGATCTAAGTTCTCGAAGACAAGTGGCGCCCCTGAAACTTTGGAGGGAAGTTTCACAATTGGACCGTGGTACTCTGGATAGATTCCAGTTCCGTGGAAGATTCTGAATGAGAGCCAGTACTGAAGTGTATTTTTGTGCTTAGGGGATGTCGGCATCTTATTTAGTAGTGATCGTGGGAATGAAGGGTCCCAGGCCACGTCGCAGATTGCCGTGGCTCTGTGCGTTTATACGGGGGTCTGGTCACAGCGGATGCTCATAGACCCAGATACCAAACGCAGGGCGGGGAGTGATAAACCAATGGAAGCGTCGCGAGAATAAAGTCTAGGAGCAAGACAAAAGAGTACAGACCCCAAAACGTCCAGAGCAGGTGACAACTGATATTACGAGCAGAAAAGATGCGGGTAGAAGAGGCAAGGGAATAGAACTGGGTTTCGCAATGATACGAGGAAGCGAGGACAGACTGACCAGATTCCGTTCCAATTGAAGCGTCCGAAATCGCACCAGCTCCGTGAGTCAGAACGAGACTAGCGCGAAAAATAGCATGAGACTTAAGATATTGCAGATTGCAGGAACGAGATCTTTGACGGATGGTTTCAATCTCGTTGTAGCTGACCGACTCAACTGAAAGTTGTTTCCAACCAGAAAGGCCGTAAAATTTCAGAACCGCTCACCCCTCGACAGCCTGCTTCTTAGCCGCCGGCGCCTCGATCTCGATCTTGTGCGCTTTCCGCTTGTGGTGCCGCTCGAAGCCGTCCTCGTCTTCTTCGTCCGATTCGGACTCTTCGTACGTTTCGGACACAATTGGGTTCGCGCGTATAATCGGCAGCGCGCCGACCGCAGCGTCGTCTGTAATCTCCTCGATCCGCACTGCAGAGACCGGAAAACCATTACGCGGTTAGCACCAAACCTTGACAAACTAGGTTGAGGAGCTTCATTTGCGGCGGACACATTCGGGTTGAAGTAAGATCTACTGATGTCGAGGCACCTGGCAGATCTTGCAGGAGAACCTTTGTCCTACCCCACCCAATAAAGCTCCTTTTGTGAGTTACTTTTTGATATTGAATGAAAGAAGAACGATCCAGAACCATCGTTTGCTTGTGCCGTCAACCTTAGCTGCGCCGAAAGCACCATGCCAATGAAGATGCTTACAAGGCAGGACAAGGGGGACCGTTTCTCGGGGGGACTTTCGCCGTTCTAGCCAAAGACCGCCTCTGCAGCGTCTCGAGGACCCTGAACATACTCAGCTAAACTCCCTACAAACTGTGGCCAATCGACGTCTCCCTGCATCCCATACGGCATGATATAAACGTCGTCTTACGGCCTTGATGGACAGGCAGGTGCGTTTCTACCAAGACCTGCTGACGTCAGCACCTCCGAAGCTGACCTAAGCATATACTTCCAGGTCAAGTTGGGGGGTTTCAGACCAAGCATGCCACTCACCGCCCTTGTTCCCGTGCCCGATAACCTCGTCTTCTTCCTCTTCATCCTCGTCGCTTTCTTCTTCATCGTCCTCGTCCTCTTCGTACTCGTCGTACTCAGAGTCATCGTCTTCGTCGTCGAAGTCCCTGCACATTCCAACATAGTATTTGTGAGTAACTAGCAACCACTCTTATCCTGACAAGGCGATATGACCTCTCCCAATCCTGAAGGGTAAGCGCCTTGAACATAAAGAGCAAACCTTGACCAAAACCTAAACCCAGTGGAAAAAGCTACGCACCCGAACCCACCCTGACCCCCTAGCTGACCCCACCCGTCCCAGGGCCTCGACGTCTTCCTTCACGGAGCTCATGACTTCAAAACCCCCGAATTTTTGCTGTATCGGCCCTTCAGCTCACAACGCAAAGCTTCATAGCTATGTAGATTTGCTGTATCTTATAAATTGAACAATCCAAGACCACGTACTTCAATTGGACACAAATAGCATAAGGACGATTTTCGATTACACTGCTGCGAAAGAAATTCATAGACGTACGCGTCTCTGTCTTTGTCACGCTTGTGGAGGGGCAATATCTAATACAACTGGAACGCGTCGTCAGGTTGGAACATCTATGATTGGACTACTTGCAATGACTGGCAAGGTTGCACGTTCATAGAAAATCGGTGTGATCGTCGATGGTAGACAACGCTGCAAAAACATGGCCAAATTCCCCGACAAAGCTCTCAGAAAGGTATTGTTGCCAGGCCATAAGCGCGAGAGGCCTTCCTACAGCCTTTCGAGATGCTCGAAGACATGGTTCATAAGCACCAAACAACCAGCATGCGCTAGACCTTGCGGATCAGACTGACGTGCAAATTTGTCGAATCCGCAGCGGCGTGCTTGCGCACAGCCCTGGGTAGAAAGCGACGGTTCTCATCACATCCGCAAGACCCTCTAGCATCTTTAAACCAGACCAGTAAAGCAAGCCCAAGCCCCAACGTTGTTGGGATCGATTCCAAAACCACAAGCTTTCAGAAAGGTGATGTAACAGGAAAACACCTTGTTGTGCTGCGAGACAAGGGATAATGCAAAGAAGCGAAAAACTGCGAGGCGAATGACTTCAAAACCCTGCACCAGATCTCAAATGGCATACAACGTCGTCCGAACGACAATGTCATGCAAAATTAAGAGCTGTCAGCAAAAACTTGTTGAATTTGGCCAAAGCCAGCAGAACCGGAGCGAGCCAACGTCGTTCAGAACAGAAGCTCGACATGACTAGCATCCACCAAGTGCAGCTCAAAGCTGCGGCATCGAAGGTTTGACGACCATAACAAGATGCTGAGCAACACGCTTGGCTATCGCTGCGCAAGCATTACCAAAACTTAACAAGGAAAGGGAGCAAACCAACAAATGTGCGGGTGCTTTTAAGGACAAATGAAAATGCGCGATCCAACAGGCCCCGAAACTTACCACCGAGTGTGCATAGGATGCCCGTGGGAATCCTCGGAGGGATCCACGTACATGTCTTCTCTGCAGAGCAGATAGAACCGAAGCTGCCCCCCCTTTCCATTTATGCCATCTTTGCACTGTTCTCATCAATCAACGGCCCCCGACTGAGCTATCGAACGCCTCACAGAGTCGATGATACTGAGCCGAAATTGAGAGACTGCGCACTACGGAAATCCTGAATTGCAACAATTACCAGCTTGAGATAAAAACAGCTGCTGGCATCGTCGTCCCAAAACGGCAAAGCTTATGCTCTACTGAGAATACTTCCAACTTTGCAATCAATGTGAACGTTGGACCCATACATCAAAGAGTCGAAACAACTTGGGGGCCGAAAAGGAAACAATCTGGGCGACTAAAACGAAGGCTGTACGATAAAACCATGCATCTCACTGCCCGACGTTGGCAGGCACACCATAGCAAGGCCTCAAACTTATACGGGACTCAAGATTTCACTGAGCAAAGGCACTAGTTTTTACTTCGACAGATGATAGCCCTCAACAAACTCCACACTCTTGAGACATCCTAATCAACCAGCATTATCAGAAGAGCATTGCAGCCAATGATTATCAGATCTTTCTCTGTACTGTCAGACAAAACAAAGTCTTCAATTTTCAACAAGGATTCAAAGACCATCATGTGATTACGCGGGCCAAGTCAATGTTCGCTGCAACTTTAGTAAGACAAGACGTTTCAAAAATTCAACCCCTCAAGATGCTCAATAAGACTCACTCTTCCCCGTACTCGTCAAACTCATCGTCCGTCTCCTCCTGCGGCTCGATCGGCATGTAATACCCCGTCAGATGCACGCTCGTGCTCCCCGTGACTGAGAACACGACGTCATCCGCAATGATGATGTCGAGGCTGCATGACTCGGTGGCGCCCCCCGTCAGAGACGCCAGGAAGATCTCCGGGTTGTCGCCGACCTTGCACTTGACCACCGTGCGCTCGCCCTGTTTGGGGTTCAGCCCCAGAACCGCCTGTAGGGAGGAGGCGTATAACGTGGATTCAGGAATAGTATTTAAAGAGATTCGCAGCATTGATGAATGGACGAAACTCCAGTATGGTATGAGGTGCGCTGCGCTGCATGGGAGGAAGACCGAGGAAAGCCTGCGATCAAAATCATTATTCACACCTTTTGCAACGAAGTTTGTCATAACCAGGCTTAGAGAAACGGCGCGCTCAACAAGCATGGCCCCTGCTGGTTAACCAACCCTGAAGGTTGAGAGATCCATATGTTATCCTCGGAAGATCACAGCTTGGGGGCAGCATAGAAAGCTCCGCGTGAAGGAAGAAGCTGATGCAAGGAAACATGGTAGCAATAACCCGTGCTTCAGATATCTCCATAAAGAATGCTGTTTTCAATTTCAAAACTTTAAATACAAACAAAGAAACCAAAAATACATTAGAAAGCAGGGATCCTCTACCAAAATAACGTTTTTCCAAGGCCTGGCGACATTTGCACACTGATGTAGCATACGCAGCAACAAATGTTGGTCCCTCTTGTCTCCAGCTTTGAGAATCAGCCAATGTTGGGACTCCGAAGCACAAGGAAAAGCTTGTTCAAATGAAAAGAGTCTCAAGAACAGATGTAGAGAGCACAGGGCGAAGCTCCTCACATTGGACAGGTGCAATTGGCTCCCAGTGCCCTCTGTTGGGATCTGCCGAAATGGCTTCCCAGGCTTCAACTCCACACCTGCATAAAAAGCAAACGGTTATTGCCGGTAGTTCCACATCCCAAGGACCTCTACGCTTCCTTCGAAATCTTTGCAATGATGGGCGACACTAAGAAGCAGAAAAGACACTTTCCTACTCCGATCGAATAAACTTTTGGATCAGTTTTTCGTGGGTAACTACCAGCTGCTTTCGCAGTTTGACAAAATGTGGTGACATTTAGATCTTCTGAGAAAATGCATGAATGGTGGTGGTCGCAAGAAATAAACTAAAGAGATGTATTGCTGCACCAGAACTGACGATCATACAGACCAATGCTCTAAAGTGCGCTGTCAATTGAAGATGAAAGAAGATATGAAAGTGAGAGCATTGCGCAGATTGTTGTAGTTTCTTAACTGGTAACGGTATCCAAGTATTTGAGGAACCCGCTCTCTGAAGCGCATGGGATGGTGGACCTTGTCCGGATTGTAAATCAATACTAGAAGTGCAAGATGAAAAAATACTGCTGATATGCTATACTACCACCATACTCGGCTGCACAGAGGAGGAGGTTTTAAAGCAATCAATTTTTCCGAAGGAGGCAGGCAGCAACTTTCCTTTGAAATATCCAGCAAATCAAACTCTTTGCAGGTGGTGCGGGTGTACTGTGGAAATCACAGTCTGTAAGCACTCGTGCTCAAATAAGACATAAGAGAGCCGGCCTGCTCACCCCAGAATGCCATGTTGAAAGCGCCCGCCCTTCCAAAGAGTAGACCAGTCCACAAGGAGGGTTTCCTCAGCGCACAAGCAGGCAGTCGCCTTTCTCCTAAAAATTTACAAGTAAAGAAAAGTAGCGCCAGATGCCAACGCATGCGCTAGCTGCAACTTCAAGGGCTGATCTGGACCTGAGGAAAGGTTTTGTGTTCACTTTTTCAGATGATCCCCCGAGGCGTCCAGACTCCAGCGGGGCAATACCATCCCCCGAGGATCCTAATAACCATTACCGTCTTATCGGCGTCGAACCCGTCATCAATTTCAAGCCCAAGATTTTGAACCAAGAGGTCGATGACTCCTTTACCACCAGGTCCTCAGAGCAAGCTCCGGCGAGCACAGGTGACGATCCCCATTGCAGTCCAGAGACTTCGCCTCCTTAAGTCCTTGCACAAACTGCTCTGAGTCTTTAAGTCTAAAGCTGAATTTCAGAAATCAGCCAAAGGTGTCTGCAAACAAGCCGCCAGCATCTTGCCATTGTCTGGATCTCAGCTGCTTCATAGCCCTTTTCTGAGTTCGGAACGGGAACACTGTATTTTGTTTTAGGACGTTTTTCTGTTGTCAGTTGTGGGCCAAGCTTTTGCCCCGCCTGTCATCAGACGTTCAAGTGGCGGCATAGCAAATACTACTACTTGTAGTTAGAAAGCACTATGATGATCTGACCTGCGTCGGAGGCCTCGTTATGATCAACTCAACCGTAGGTTTTGAGAAAGGTCTTTGGATCACCAACCACTACTCACGAAGGGGAACCAGACATACTGGGGAGTGGGGTTCCTTCGCAGCTGGTTCATGTTCTGCGGGCCGGCAGAGATTCGCATCCAGGGCTAACTACAGAAGGACAGGCGCTGAGTGGCACGGAGGCCAAAAGTCGGGGGGGGCTAAGCAGGGGGGACTTAAGATTGGTCATCTGATTAGGGTTCATGGTGAGATTCTTTTCTCGCTTTTGGACCCTGCACTTCTTCTTGGCAAGCTTTTCTCTGCCCTGCCTTTTCAAGAAGTATTATATTACTGACGCCCTGGTAGTGCTGCATGCATCGCTGACTTTCCGAGTGTGCCTCCTCTTTGCGTTGCCTGGGCCTCTCCAGTAGTTCCTTCATATGTCTGATCATCACGCTGTAGGAGATCATGTTGTTTCGAAGTTTTCTGGACAGCAGGTTGTAAGGTTGGATTTGACTAGTTCTGCTGGACTGTTTCACACACGTATGGTTCAATCCACTTACGCAAGAAAGGGTGGGTTTACTTATCAACCTCTTGAGCATACCTGGGGTCCTGATCGAGGGCGTGTCAGAACGCGACAAAAATTGCTCACCGTACTAGATGCTGTCCGCAATTATACTAGTCTTACCCCCTTTATATGACCTCATAATCAGGTTCAAATAGAGATTGCCGCATCTCATGCTGTGCTTGATTCAGAGATTCTGAAATGTGGAAACAATCTGGTGAGTCCTTGGTTTTGGGCTCGTAAGCGCGCATTACTTTGCGACGCCCTACTTAAGTTTTAGATGTTCCGGTTGATTGAGTTTTAGTTTCTCAGAGTTGTTGCGGACACTCTGATCAAGACTGTGTTTCAAACGTTCTACATACGCCAATGAGTATCGTACATAACTGCCCCTTCTGCGGCCGATACCTTTCGCACGCGGCCGGCATGCCCCAAACTTCAGTTGGAAGCGGTTAGCCGACTGCGTTATCTTTGGTCGATTAAGTCCGGAGCTCATGTCTGCTTGCCGTGCTTTAGATTCATCAGAAACTAAGATTTGGTCAGAAAATCGTACAGATCTATCCTGCAACCTGGCTGGTCGGTGAGTAAACAAATCCAAAGTTCAGAGGAGGGCAGACACTGCAACCCAGAAATTTTCAGTGTTGCGGCCCGGAAACCCCACGATGAAGTAAAGCCATTTGACCTTCCCTTCCTGCAGGCTAGTAAAATTATTGCCAACCTCCTTGTGCTGGGGGGTGGTATCTTAGTACGGGCCGTCTCGCAAGCATACCGGCAGGCTATCATAAGTGAGTTCCTTCACTTTCTCCCCTTTCTCCACTTTCATCCGCCATCTTCCCCAACACTTTCCTAGACAGTTGTTCGCAGAATTCGGTTTTATTTCGATGCAGATCTTACATAGGCGTGATGTCAGGGTCAAATTTTTGCACGACTGTATCATTCTCAAAGCAAGCAAGATTGGGATGTTCAAGACGGTTGTTGTTGCTGTCGCATGTGGCGTTTCTTTTTGGTGACACGGGTCTGTTGTCCTTGAAAGTAAGAGGCGCGACTTTCTTCCACCGCAACAGCCATAAGATAGACTATGTCAGGGCGCTTTTGCACTCTTCTTGTGGGAATTATGATTGGCCATTTCGGCGGCTCTCCCGATGTTCGTTGAAACCCTTTATACGTCTGTTTTCTGTTTGCCCCCTGAAAAATGACGGAGGGCGCCGATTTTCGTCATATCTCTGTAATCTGCCTCTTTCAAGGTTTCTGAACGCCACAGACTCGAATCTTGCATCCTAGTGCTTTTCGTTCTCAGCCTATTCAAACTTGCTGCTTCGTTGTCTTCCAATTGTCGACGGTATTTTCCTTTGTAGACCACATCAGGTGCTTTTTGGTTCTACAAGGATGTCGAGTGTATTCACACTGCCCCGTGTGCTGTGCAGATGGCACCAAGGCGGGCGTCGCAGAGCAGGTTAAGAACACGGTGGGGCGGGGCAGCAAGACGATGAGCTTGCACGAAGCGCGGCAAGTACTTGGGATCAAAGAAGAAGCGTCTTGGGAGGAGATTGTCAAGGTAACCGCTCCTTTTACTGATGGATGTTCTGTGCTTTTATTGACACGAGGCGTCTTAATTATGCATGTTGGCCTGTGGAAGCTGAAAGTTGCAACAAAGTGCTCTTACTCCCAGAAGGCGGACAGCCACAGACTAGAGTCGACGACAAAAATCTTTGCCTTAAGATCTTGATTCAGTTACCGGATTGTGAGGACATGGTTCTTCCGTTTCCATGGTTCGATCTGCTTTCCGCTCCCCATCGAAGCAACTCTTCCATAACGGCGTAAACTAGTCTCGTCTGTAGCCGTGCTGTTTTTACAAAGGCCCCGAGTCTCTGTCTTCTGCATGAACCAACGGACTGAACACTTCCTGCAGAGATATGAGCGGCTATATCAGAGAAACGAGGAAGGGGGCTCCTTCTACATTCAAAGTAAGGTTGTTAGAGCGAAGGAGGCGCTGGAAGCTGTCCAACAACAAGCGAAGGACAGTGCTAGTGCTGGAGGAAAGACTTGAGGTTTTGGCAACCATGCATTTTTTACCCTCAATTATAGCAAAAAATAAGTTTACCGGTTCGTTAAGTTCGTCGGGGATACACGCGCTTCAAAGTTTCGCGCGCAGCCTTTGTCACTTCATATCCTCAGTTCAAAGACGTGCAGGCATGATGTAAAGTTGTGCATACGCACAAGCTGCTTAACGCCCTACACCAAGCTAGAGACTTGAGGCAACATGTGAATCGATGGTTCTCAATTGAGAATCAATGGGCCTTGTGCAGGCTCATATGATGCATATAACTCGCGAAAGTGTCACGTTCGACTCCCAGAATCAAATGATTGAACATACCAGGTAAGCGCACATGGGAATGCAACAACCTATCATTCAGCTGGTGTCGCCACATGTCCGACTCCTCGATCGTAATGCAAGCAGAATCATGCATCCGATTTTTGAGATCTCAAGAATCGGATGCATGCGTGATCGATCACACAGCATTAATATGAGCATGTTCAGTACTAGCACATGATCGGTACGTGCATGGAGTCGATCATCCTTATTCGGCGCGTGCGCCATATGACGCTCTTTCACAACAATTCAAGCAAAGAGGCGCAGCTAAAATATGTTATCAACATGGGCCAGAATCATGAGAGCTGTTGGTACATGTTCGCACCAGCAGAAGTGCGGTCGGACATGTCCGACAGAAATGACTATAACCATGCAAGCTACGAAATTAATTTGGTGATCTGTACGAAGGACATCATAGGTACGTTCACACATGGGTTCGAAGTTTTGAACGTACAAAACCGACCAAATTGTATGAAGTAGGTACTCCAACTGCCACTGGTCGTAAAAACGAATAGCTGAATACCTATGTCTCCATTGTACACAAAAGTTAGTCCTCCGACACCAAAACATTTTATGCCATCAGTATCTTATAAAACTCGACTCTGCTTCAGAACATTTCCATAAAGTGTTCTTACTTTTCGCTACTGTCTTCATTTCCTCGCTCTCATGGCTCTCAAAAAAGCGATCGCAGCTAGAGGTCCAACGATGCCCAGGGCCGCCAGCGCCACTGCAGAGACCTCTCTCCCCTCCTGCTCAGGGTTGGGCTGCTTATCCAGTTGAAGCGCCTCCAGCTTCTTCTCGTACTGCGTCGGCACGTGCCCTTCAGGCCCCTGCCTAAGAGCACCGAAAGACGGGATATAAGTCCATTGTGCAAGAAAGATAGTCGAAGAAGCAGAATAACCTTTGATTTTATCAAACTCCGATGGGCGAGAATGGGCGAGAAAGTCGTCACTCTAAAGCAATCGGATGAACTGACTCTTCAAGAAGCGGGTTACCTCGACCCAATCGCGTGGGTGATGGTCCCTTATGAGATTTCGCGTTTTAATAGGCTGCTGTCATAATGGATTCTCCCCTCAATCACACACTTGGGACGGCACCCGATGATCTGCAATCAATACTGATACAGCAACAGTGCTTCTGATATTTCACGAGATTCTTACGGACGTCATGGGTAGACTCTACTGCAACGACGTTCCTATAGTAGAGCTCTGAAACACCCACCTTCCTGTCGGATGCCGCCCGCTCGAAATTCCTCTCTGTCTGATCCGCAGCGTCGCCTGCCCTCTTCACTCCCTTGGCAATCGCCTCCGCGCCCTTGTCGCTTCCACGCTGGATGCCCTCTCCCACCCTGAAGAAAGGTTACCAGCTTTCAAAGATCGAATAGCAACGACCGGAGTAGAGCCAAATGCGGACACTTCAGGATAAGTCGAAAATTTTGCAGACGAACGAAATGCAACGACGAACACTTGTAGGACTTAACGGTCTTTGAAAAGGGAATTGCACAAGTGCCGATGAGTCCGCTTTTTAAGCACCTTAGAACGCAATATGCTTGAAGTATAGCCAAAGACAGAGACAAGAAGGGCGGAGATTTGGCTCGGGAAAGGCTAGTTGTGCCGGAAGCCTAGGCTAACACGTTTTCTCAGCATGCGAAGTGCTCGTTGTAGCAGAGAAGACGAGCCAACCTCAAACTCCGTTATATACCTCTACATTAAGATTGAGCGATTATTACAAAACTCAGGGCGACCTTTGGCTCTCAAATCAAAGCAAAGATTGGCTTTGTTAGGGTAGAATTCCGCGATTTCCTACGTATCGACCACATTGTAACGCCACAATCGAGGAGGGATCATTGACAAAATACTCTGAGACAAACCAGTAACCACCCACCTCTCTCCGGCGTTCCTGGTGGCCTCCTTTGCCGCCCGCGCATACTCTCCTGCACGCGTAGCCACCGCATCCGCCTCCTCGTTCACTCCACGCTTCAGACGCTCGTACCCCTCCTTCAAATCCCGATCAGCCGCGTCGAACTTGGCCCTCGACTCGGGGTCCAGTTTCTCTTCCTTCTTATCCCCGCCCAACCAGTTGAACCACCCCTTCGCCTCCTCCTTCCCCTGTGCGTACTCCCGCCGGCCCTCGTCTCTCGCCCCGCGCACCGCCCCCCTGGCGCGATCGGCAGTCTCCTCAGCACTGTCTCCGGCACGTCGCACCGCCCCCCGGGTGCGGTCGGCGGTTTCCTCGGCACGGTCCCCGGCGCCCCGGAACGCCCGCTCCGTCCGCTCTTTGGCCGACTCGTACGTCTCCCGCGCGTCCTCCTTGGTCTCGCGCCACCCGCGCTCGACCGAGCGCTTCGCGTCCTCCGCACGTCTGCTGACGTCGTCGATGCCGCGGCTGACGTCATCCTTGGCCCGGCCGTACTGCTCGCGCGCCTTGTCCTCCCCTTCCTCCACCTTGTTCTTGCCCCACCCCAGCCACGAGTTCGCCGCCTCCTTCGTCTTGTCGGCCGCCTCCCGGGTCTTCTCTCTCGGCTCCTCAGTGTCTCTCTTAACCGCGTCAACTCGGCCGCTAACCTTGTCCCTCACTTGGTCGTGCGTCCCCTGCGCATCCTCCTTAATCTCCTCGTAACCCTCCTTGACCCGCTCCTCCCCTTCGCGCACCTTGCCCTTGCCCCACCCCAGCCACGACCCCGCCGCGTCCGTAGCCTCACGCGCCTTCCCGCTGACGTCATCCCGGCCCCTGTTGATGTCATTGCGGGCCCGATTGACGTCATCCCTGACGTCGTCGGCTTTGTCCTTGGCGCGGCCGATCACGCGGTCGTAGACGTCCTCGGTTTTGTGAGCCACCTCCCCGATCGCGCTCTTGGTCTTCTCCTTGGCAGTCTCGAGGCCGTGCTCGATGGAGCGGTCCGCCTCCTCGACCTTCTCCTTCGTCCAGCCCAACCAGCTCTTACCTGGAGAGGGAAAAAAGTAGGGTTTAAAGTCTGAAGTTGGTACCATCATTTTCGTAAGCACAGGAGGTGCTTAAAAGTTAGGCTTGAGCTCCGGCGAGTCGAAACTCGCTGCAAGCAAGATATAGGGAAGGATTTCGGGGAAGGAGGCTTGCAGAAACTTGCAGAACGGGATTACATTAGCGTAACCGGGAAGCACCTTGCAAACACTGATGGAGAAAACTCGTCTACGTTTCCGTTTTCAACAAAGAAGGATACAAGACACGGAATTCCAAATGAGCACGAACATACACCTCTAGCTGTCATCTCGTCTCATAAATTTAGGGGCGCTTTTCCCTCCTGACATGGTTTCGTCAGGTTTGCTGCAGTGCCTGGACTCCCAACTGACGTTGAAACATCACACAAAGCCAGCACAGATGTTTTCCAATTTTGGAGAGCCGCACTAGCAACAACAAATGACTCTAAATAATAACTGTGCTGCAAGAAATTGGATGAAGGCTGCCCTGGAGATGCTCTTGGAACGGGAAACAAAAGTGGACTCAAAATTAACTTGACATTCACCAAGGAAGGAAGAACAAACAATGGTCAACGCCACACCGAATGTAGTGCCAATCGACCAGACCTACCCTTCGTTGAGAAGCTTTCATTCCTCGAGTGTGTCAACATGTAAACCTATGTCCAACAAAGCAGCAGAAGTTGATCTCACCGCTCTCCTCAGCCCTGCGCGTGGCATCACGTGTGGCCTCCCTCCCTTCATCCACCTTCCTCTGACCCTCCTGAGCTGTGCGGTCCACATACTCCTGCAGCCTGTCACTGGCAGCCCTGGCACCGGTGGGAATGGGGGGGCGACCATCGTGTCTGTCCTGGTACCCCTGGAAAAGGTGGAAGAGTTTTGGAAATTAGTTACTTACGTTTTGAGAAATCCTTGATAACAGCACGTTTGGACAAGATGCAAAAGCTTGCAGGTTAGTAGCTTGTGTTTTGTGGACGCTCACAAAGAATCCCCTGGGGAGATTATGCACCTGGAATGATCCTTGCTCAGAAGAAGGGACCAAAGCAACGTTGCTCATGGAGGAGCAGGTCAGATAATGCGGTCTGGCAGCCTTGCACGGAGATAGACATCACATTTCTGACAAACTATAGGAGGTCATGATAGAGCTACACCTTGGAAGTGGAAAATTGTGTCAAAAGAATGGGTTACGTATGACAAGGGAAGCCACTGGAGCAACTTCTGGCAGACTCAACTGCACTCACAGTGTTGATTGTAGGACACAACACAAAATCCTTTCAATCCTAAAGAGTTTATTTAACTTTTTCGAGTGCTTGATTCAAGTCAAAGTTGACCATTATGGAGAAGATGATCATCAGCATCAATTGACATCCTGGTTAATTTAGTCAATCAGACGAGAACCAAGCCTGCTTGCTGTCTTACCTGGAGTGCAGGTGTATCAGATCCAGCTCCATACTTCTGAGCATCAGGGGTGGTCTTTGTCCTCAAGACTCTCTTTGCATCCTCGCCAATTTCCTTGCTCTCTGCTTCCCACTGACGGCCCGTCTTTACAACAGCGTCACGCGCAGTCTCCTTGAACTCCTCAACCTTCTCCCTGAAGCGCTCTCCCATCTTCTGGGTGGCCTCTTGTTGCCTGCACGACATTGAGGATTGCATGATTCGAAGCACCATCCTAAGCGTTTAGCTTAAATCTCACCATCATTGACCATCTGTAGCGTTGCTCAAAAATGGACTTGCTAGTTCCTTTACTGACAATGCATTCGCTTCTTTTCAAAACTCACAACCGCACTCGCATTCTCCATATAAGATAAATGCATGAAGAGACAGCTAAAGTAGCTGGCTAGATGTGAAAATCACCCTGGTGAGTTGAACAACACGTCATGCTCAACATCCAACTTCCACATTTTTTTTCCCTCGATATGACTTACATGAAATGACCAAGTTGGCCAACTTTAGGATGCAATGAATGACATGCTACAGCTACACAGCTTTGTGCCACCATCCTTTTTGAAATATTGCATGCACTGAAGTCTCACATCACTGCCTTTCTAAAGCAACCCCCTACTATGGCCTGTGACAAAAATCTGTTCCTGGTGTGATATGGCAGAAAACCTGAAGGTTGTGTGATATTGCAACATCACCTCAGGTTTGTAAGAAAGCTTAAACTCACTTAAAGGCAAAAACGCAACCTGAAATGCATGATGTGCATGCGAGCACAACAGGTCGTAAACCATGGCAGCTTAACTTGCCAAGAGTAGGGGACGTCTGCTAACAGTTCAACCTGTTCCTTCTTTTCAATGAAAATATAAGCTTCATTGAACAATACCAGCAGCAATGCTGATAGGTTAACCAACTGCATTTTCCTTTTCAGAACGTTGAGTACTCACTCTCTGGGGATGTCGTCGCTCTGCATGTGAGACGGAAGCCCTGCTCCCATCCCAGTCTTCTCCGAACCATACCTTCCGCGGGCCCTCTGAAACTCCTGATACTGTGCTCTGTCCCACTCATTCCTCACACGAGCTCTGTCATCCCGTCTCGCGTTCCAAGTCCAGAATGGATCGCCAGTGACCTTCCGCACCTTCTCCTCATACATGCGAATCTTCACCTCGTCTGGAGGGTTTCCCTCTTCAAAGGACGGTGGACGAGACGCTGACGGCACGGATTGCTGCTGCCCCATGATGACAGGCGTTGATGCTCGTCTCGAGGAACAATTGAGAGGCGACTAACGATAAGTTTGTCTCCTGAAAGAGGTCTGCTAACGTTGACTAAGTTACAGCACACCAATTGCTGAACCCTTCGCAGGATTTGCTCTGCAATGTGCTGTAGATCCTTCTCTCAAATGGAGAAATGCTGCCGAAGTTTTGCGCCATTGCCAGCTCTGCAACTTTCCGCCCTGAGCCAAGCTGCCAGATGGCACGTCCTCGTGACACGTGGCATTAAGTCGCGCGCTTGCGATCGTTCCACGTGTCACGGGGAATCTGCCCGGTGAGAATCAACTTTTTCCGACGATGCAAAGCGGCGAAGTCGACCGGGCGCTTTCAGAAGCCAGGCGCACGCCCTTCCCGAGGTATCTAAAGCCCGGAGGATAGTCTACCGGGTGAGGGTTCGGGGGACAGATTGATGGGGCACGTCACCGCGGTTTAGCCAATCAGGGACAGCTGGAATCCCAACAGATCATGCAGTGTGAATACGCGAAGGCTTTTTCAGGGTTCCCCGCACTTTTTGGGTCACGAGGTACAAACCACACTCCAACCAGGATTTATATCTCGCATCTCTGACACTGCTTGTGCTTGTTTTCCGGCTTCTTTGTTACAAAATTCTAGAAGTGTGTCAAGGCTCCTCGACGATACGGTTGGGAAACAGTCTGGAAGGTTTCGTTGACAACCTGGCTGGAAGTTGAATGATGAAGCAACTTTGGCGAAGGAAGCGAGAAAGGGCGCTATCTTTCTAGCTAAGCTAGGGCAAAGCTTGGCGCAAAGCACATGCTGAACAGCATCAAAAACTGGTAAAGCCAAGTGGAAAAGTGTGGCTACCAAGCAAGAAAAAGGAGGAAAAGTGCAAATTGGATTTATTGTATGACCGACAAAAACCAGGGGCAGCCGCTTTGCTGGAATAGATGGGCAAGCATGGTTCCTGACACTGACGCCCTGTCAGACCAGCCGTCAGAATTCACTCCAGGGATCGTAACCACAGAGACAAGCCCCTTTGCCGTAATCAAAAGGCAGGTCCGCTCAAGTCTGCTCTCATCAGGAGCTTTACCAACAGGGGGCATTCACTCAAGCGGGGGCGCACTTTCGGGGCCAACTACAAAGACTTTAGTGAAAGATTTCCAAATCGGCATCGTTGCTGAACCCCGGTGGGAGGTGCGTGAGCCGGAGATCATCGTGATTGAGGACTTTGAGGATGGGGCCGCGCCTCCGCTGACATCAAAGATGACATCAGCGGGCACGTCGCTGGAGGTTGGGTCTGGTAATGGGACCAGACAACAGTATGGGATGCAGGATGGAGGAAGCAGCGCAGACTTGCGAGCGGGGCCCTACAGAGCTGGCTGTTTACCAGATGGAACAGCTGCAGAAGTGGAAGACCTTTCACCTCAGCCAATTGCAGGGCCCCAGGACACGGTTGAGAGACTTTTGGAAGCGGCGCGCGTGCTCGAGCGCGCTTTCTCTGGGATGGGGGACGGCGACGCGCGGTGCATTGATGGGAGAATACAGGGCCCACAGCTGTCTGACCCGGTCGTCGTTCACAGCTCAGGTGGTTTGGTTAACCCAGAGGGGTTTATAGGGTTTGGGGTTGCTTTGGGCAAGCCGGGAGGTTTGGAGCCTTCGATGACGTTAAGCCGGGGCGTTCTGGAGCGGTTGCAGCGGGGCGACGATGACATCAGCTCGGGGACGAGCGGCATCGGCACTCCCAGCTCAGGAGAGTCAGAACCAGAGCTCGAACCACTCTCTGCCGGCCCCGCCCCTTCCTACCAGCTGCCCAGCACGCTAGGCGCGGGCGCCGTAAACCCTAACCGCCCCCCCGCTAAGCTGCGCCACGCGAGCGCCCCCGCATTCTCGATCGCTTCCAACTTCAGAGCAGGAGCGGTGTTTGCTCAGGCGAGTGTCGGTGAGGGGCCGGAATCGGAGGAGCGTGTTGCGAGCGGGGCAGCCGCGTCTAGTTCTGTGGAAGCGGGAGGGCATGTTCATGCGCCGTGGCGGCCGCGTCGGCCCCCCCGCCCATCTTCTGCCACAGTTACCAGGAGTCAGAGCCTGCGAGTGCTCAGTGATACGTCTAGTGATTCGGGCCAAGTGAGTGGGCAGCCAATCCTAGTTGTACCTTTGGGTTGGCCAGCTTGTGTTGCTGAACGGCCCTCGTAGGTCGGCCGGTTCTGACAAACGCGCTGAGTCAGTTCTTGGCAGAGTTTTCAGAATCTGGTGAAGGTTCTGGTTTGCGGCGAAGCGTCTCTTTATCATCTGAAAGCTTTTGGTGTGTTATTTTATCTGGAATACAGTTTTAGCTCCAGAGCTTCTGCAGGGTTGCCGCAGGGGTCTCTGTTGCGGCATGCAAAAGGATTAGCTTGGTCCTTGCAGCTCAATCAAGCGTCTGTAGGGCTTGAGAATTCCAGCAGCCGGCCTCATAGTTCCACAGCTGTGGTTGAATACTTGGAGCTCTTTCATTTTTGCACGTTTAGAGGGCCTTGTGATCACTTTCGCAAGCAAGGGAAAGAGCTAATCTGGGCTTGTTTGGCACTTGCATGTGTTGATTTCTTTCAACTCTTTGCTTCTTCTATGTCTTGAAAGTCAAGGACCTACCGAGGGATGCTGGTGCTATGAAAGAGGCCATCAAGCTTCTCGCTTGGGAGCTGAGTTTCACTGGTTGTGCTGTGAATAGGGGGTGGTGCTTCATTGAGCTCTTTTTTGTGCACTTGGCCTGCTTTAGAAGTCCCCATCGTCAATGCCCCTAAGATTTGATTGTGGCTGCCTTTGGTAACCTGTTGATTCTGGAAGCTGAGTAAGCCGTGCTAGATTGGAAATGGCCACTTTTTTCGGCAGTGCTTGCAATTATGTGAGAATTGCTTTTTATGATGTGACTTTTCTTCACATCATAAGTTTAATTCAGTTTACTTCTACTTGTCCTTGAGGGCTTAGAGGGTTGGTCATGAAGATTACAAACACCGTTCACTTCCTTCTTACGCTTCGGTCTTGTATCAAGTTCCAAGTTGTGGATTGCATTGTCTTGTATCGTGTGGTTTGCAATTCCCTCTTTACACATGCCTTCAGATTTTTCATGACAGTTTCCAAAACATATGGGGCCCTTCTGTGATTAACTTGGATCTGGCAAAACTTTGATTGAACAAGATTCACAGTACTCTGATAGTCACTTCATTTAAGCAACCAGGTATACAAAACTGACCGATCTGCTTCTCCTTTCCTCTCTAGAACTCCCCCAACCCGGAAACTTTCGGCGGCTTCGACGAGCTCCGTGAGGCGTCCCTCTCCCCGGACATTCCACCCTTGTCTCCAACCCCGCCCTCATACATTCCCTCGGTCCGTTCTGGCGCCTTCGCCAGCATCGGCTCCCGGCCCCAGATGGAAGACGCGCACCTCACCCTCAATGACATCAGCGAGCTGCTAGGATCGCGCCACCTGGCGCCCTCAGGGCCAGCCGCATTCTTTGGCGTGTTTGACGGGCATGGCGGCCGGGACGCGGCAGACTATGCCGAGAAGCACTTGCTGGAGAATTTGTTGGGGGATGGGGGGTTTCCGGGAGACGTGCACGGGGCGCTTGTGCGGTCGTTTCTGCAGACGGACAAGGGGTTCCACCGCGCGTGTCTGGATGAGAAGGTCGAGCACTCGGGGACGACGGCTCTCACAGCGCTCGTTTTTGGGAGGTGAGCAGGATTGCGCCATCAAGGAGTTTGACTATGGCCTCTTCAAGACGGACTTGCGGAGGGTTCCTGATGTATTGCTTGTTCTTTAGAGAGACAAAAGTCACTGGAAAAGCAGTTCTGCGGACCTGGTTGTTGAGGGTTTCGAAGCGAGGAAGAACCGCTCAGTAGGCAGATGCTGAAAAATGGCTGGAGTCTCGATTTCTAAGTCCGGGCTTGTACTTCAACCTTCCGCTGCAGAACGCCTTTGTCAAATGGCAAGCACGTGCAGTCTACCCCTTGCAATCGTCACATGCTCACATGCATCAAATGTGTAGACGCAGAGCAGACGTTCCGTCTTTTGAAACTCACAGCAAAATCTGAGGCCGACCTCCTCTAAAGTCTTTTTCTTGAGAAGCTAGTAGCCTGCTGTCTATCCACGAATTGCAGATAGGAGGTCAACTTCCCCTCCGACGTATATTACCAGACAGAGATTGACTCTGGTCTTCTCTCATTGGTTGCAGGACGTTGGTGGTTGCAAACGCGGGTGACTGCCGTGCGGTGCTGTGCCAGAAGGGGCGGACGGTTGAGATGTCGCGGGACCAGAAGCCAGGGTGTGAGGTCGAGAGAAAACGAATCATTGCAAAGGGGGGATACGTGGAGGACGGGTATTTGAACGGGCAACTAGGCGTGGCTCGCGCGATCGGGAACTGGCACATGGAGGACTTCAAAGTGAAGGGACAGCTGACGGCGGAGCCGGAAGTGAAGGTGAGGTCGGGTTCTGGATAGGGTTCGAAATTGAGTTCGGTGGGGTTGAACACATTTTCCTTTTCCATGTTTCGCCATCTTAAGAGACTCTATGAGGATGTCGAAAACCACGTAGTTTCGGATTGTACTGGATGTAGCATACGAAAAGTGACGGGCTATGGCAAGGAACAGGTCGTTCTTTCTGCACACGCGTTTGCTAATTTGAAATCTTGTTTGTTCCGCTTGCATCATACAGCAAATGTACAACCCCTGCTTTCAGTTGCGCGAGCCAGATTGAGTCTTGCTTATCTTGTCGTAGCCATCATTGAGCTTAATGAGCTTGGCCGTGTCTTACTTGGACCCTTACATTCCTCAGCACTGCCAAGCAGGTTCGGATGTTGACGCCCCCCCCTCGTTTGTAACTAGGTGTGGGAGCTGGGCCACGAGGACGAGTTCCTGATTTTGGGCTGCGACGGACTATGGGACGTCATCAGCAGCCGCATGGCCGTCGATTTGGCGCGGAAACGGTTGCAGCAGCACAACGATCCCGTGCGCTGCTCGCAAGAACTGGTGGAAGAGGCGCTCAAGCGGCAGACGAGCGACAACGTCACGGTGGTAACGATCTGTTTCCAGAGGGATCCCCCTCCGCGGCTGACCACGGCGGCGCCGGTGGGCGTGCGGCGGAGCATATCGGTCGACAGTCTGCGCGCGCTCCAGGAGAAGCTCGACAGGTGTTGACGCTGAAGAGGGGGACACGTGGCAGAAGAAATGGTGCACCACATGGCTATTTGGGGGGGAGGGGGTCTTGGGGGGTGGACAAATGGCACTAGGATAGGATAGAGAGTTCAGAATGGAGCTTGAGGACGGTTTCTAAAGAGAACTTGACGTTTGACACTTCGAAAACAAGCTTACAATCAGTCGAGGACAGGTTTTGATCAAGGGCAGGTTTTTAAGTCTGGGATGGGGTTCCGATCAAGGTCGATCAGAGGGTGGGGTTTAGGGCAGGTTTGACGAGCAAAGTGAGTGTAAAGTTTGGCGTCAGGAAGTGACACATCTGTACATGGTAGTGATTGCTGCTACAGGTCTTTTGAGATAGAGTTTCTTGTGAGTTGAATCCTAGTTCAGAAGCAAGTATACATCAAGGGAAAGCAGACGCTTGGACCCTCCTTCAATCGAGCCTAGCTAGGCACGTATTGTATTCTGAGACATGAAGGAGACTGTTAATCGGACATCTGTCCACAAAGGTCGTTTCATCAAATTTGTATCGAGTTGGAATCATGTAATTTGAATGGACCAGGATTCACATGAGCGTGAATTTGGCATCCCAACAACCACGTTTTATATGTCTAATTACAGATGATCGATATCATTCGGCATGTGTACGATCACTTACATGATGTATTTATAAAACGATACAACCCATGCAATCGTTTATTTTTAACGCATTGAATGTGGCTCATGTCATCCGACGGAACTGCTGCTGGGTGCAATTGCCTTGTCACAGTCGATGGCGCATGGGCTTTGGAAGTAGCGCCCTTGCGATCTCGTGCGTTCTGGCAACATATGAACTGGCACATGTCGATGACGGTGTCGATCGTCACTTAGTAAGCCTTGTATGATCATTGACTGTGACGTAGCTGGACAATCAAGTGGTCTAGCACGGTCGACGCGCCCTCCATGGGCCAATGCATGACGAATATCTGCAATTTCAGATTGACGGTCCACATGCTGGACGTTGGATCATACTTGCTTTTTGTCGGAGAACAAATGATTCACGCAGTTCATCTGATCCTTTCTGGAGCTATCGCGGAATAAACGCGCATTTTTCGGTGGCTGGCCTGATCAGAAGAAGCTGGCAGCCCCAATGTGACAAACTCGTACATCGAGTTTTGGAGCTATCTCTTGAAAAGTTCAACTGGATTCAGTGTTCTAGCCGCCCCTTTCTGGGCACCAATTCGCAGGAAAGCCGTCCAGGTACTCACATTTCTTTTCACGGCCTTGCAAGATCGAGGTTCCTGGAGCGATGAATTACGAGCAAGCCACTTATGTCCGCTCAAACTGGACACGATCCACCAGGATCTCGCCAAAGATTGTGGAAAGCCGCTTATGCGACTCAGCTCTTCAATCTTCATCACGCAGGGCCTGCAATCCATTGGTTTGAAGGGCAGTAGCAAAAGCCCAACGTTCGACGATGATGCAGCCAGGATCTCCGCAAGTCGCATCCCAGACCCCGGAATGAAGTTGTTTTAGGCTCAGCAGCCAATATCTACGGTTGCAAACGACTGTTAATGGTAGCAGCAAACTGAACGTCCGGAAAGGAAGTACCTATATGGAAACATTCAGGTTTCATTGTTCTGGCAGATGTCACCCTATAGCTGTACAAGCTCGTTCTGAGGTCGTCTCAAGGAGCAAACAGGACCTCGTGAGCCCACACTCCTGGCGGGCGCTTATGGCTTTTACATACACAAACTGTAATCAAACATAGCAATTTCGTCTTTTCTTGGCTGTTTTGCTGGACGTCAGGAGTTTTGAACGGCAGGAGTATTGTAGCCCCGTCCCCTGGAAAACGAACAGGTGTAACGAACTGCGCCAGTTAGGGCGTCCTCAAGGCCACGTGTCTTCAGTTGAAGGCTTCCTGTGGCTTGGACCACATGCTCGACACGTGTCCCCCAAGAAGCAGAATGGGCGTCACCCGGCCCCAGATCCGCATGTTCTCGTTGAAGAGGTACTGCACACGAAGAGCGAAAACTTCATGTTCCAGGGGGTGGTTCCACGAGCCGGTTTTGCAAACCCTCTAGAAGATGACCGGACATCCCGTGAGCTTTGAGCGTGACAAGAAGGCTTCTGAGAGATAACCGCAGGCCATAATTCCGTTCCACTCGTCAGCTGTCCAATCTGAACCGTTGGTTGCGGGCCAGAACTTCCGTTCCGCTCGCTAGAATCTGGATCCGCCCGCGGCCCGTAGGAGAGAAAAGCCGGACAAAACGTCGTCATGCTCTCGGAGTCCATGCTAGACAGAACAAACAGAACGATACCTCGAAGCAGCTTCAATCCGGACCAGTTCCCACGTCGCCTGCGCCACAGAGTCCTTCCCGAGGCCAACCCTTTCAAGCATTCAGCTTGAAGTATTGACGTTCTCTCAGTTTAGCCAATCGCGAGGCATATCACGTCTTCCTATCTGATGAACCTCGATAAGAATAGGTTCTTACCCTCGCCTGCGCCAAAAACCTCTTCCCTAGGCCCACCATTGCAATCTTTGCAAGCCCTTGAGATTCAAGCACGTTCGTTCACTCCCCCAAAATCGCGACCCAAGTTGGAGCATTTACCTGATAATCGTCTGCATGGGTTCTTACCTTTGCCTGCGCCACAAACTGTTTTCCAAGGCCAACTTTTTCGGCCCCTTCCCCAATTGCCGCGACCGCCCTCTTGAGCTGCGTGACCGCCACGTGCACCTCCCCCGTGCGCCGCTCACGTCCGTCGATCACTCGGACCTCGGAACGCTCCTCGTCAGCATGACGTAAGCGCCCCGTCGATCGGTCCCGGAAAGAAGAAGGCCTGCCTCCGTGGAAGCGACCGGGGCGGGTTGCGCGGTCGACCGGGCCCGTGCGGCGGCCGTATTGGTGCCTGGGGGACGCTTCAATCCGGTGAGCCTTCAATTCCGATTTCGAGACCGGTCTTCCCAGTCGTGCTGTAAAATCAATGCAGATGCCTCTGCAGAAAAGAATCTAGCGAATGGGTCCTCGACGTCGCAACTACAGTAACGACTTGAGCTTGACAAGAAGCGGAATGATCATCCCGTCTCTTCCATCAAAAGAGATTGCAAGCTGTTTTGAAGACGTTGCAGACATGCTTAAAGTCCAGTCTCTTCATACTATACTTCCTAAGAGCTCTATTCCCCAGTGGTCTTGAGGCACTTAACGCCTCCTCTCTCCGCTTTCTTCCTGCCATCTTCAGCCTTTGGACTGATCAGCCTTTCCGAGGCAGTCTGGATTCAAAAACCCCTCTGTGCTTCTATCAGGTATGACTCACGCCGATTACAGCAGATAAAAACAAACATTGTCCCATTTTTCTCATTTTCCCCTAGCTTTATCCAAAGAGTTTGCCAGAGGCTAAAGGACTCACCCGACGACCCATTGAGTGGCGTCCACTTGAGTGTAGACCAGCCTCCTTGGATACATTGTACTCCTGTATGTGTTTGAAAAGGTGAGTTTTGCTCCTAATGATCTTTCTTGTAAGACGTTCGGACCAAGATTTGTCTGATTTGATGGGCCTCCGATAAGCAATAAGAGTGGCTGCTTATCAGCGGGTTTGAAGTTGTAGGTAGAGCCTGAAGGCAAATCTCTGGAAGAAAGCAAAGCCCACTTGCGTGTAGATCCCAGATTCAAGGACGTCTGTGGTTCAGGAACGTACAGCTCTCACCTGATGAGAAGGGAAGCAACGAAGGTTTGAAACTGCGAGGTCCAACCGTTCGAGAACGAGGTTAAGATTGGAGCCCAGTTGGGCTCAAGAGATTGGTAGTCTTCAAGGAAGAATGCGACTCAGGAGAGAAACCTTGCGGCTCGGGTATTCGTTTCTTTGGGCGCTTCTGTGTTTTCCGCGGCCCCTCCGCAAAAGAAGTGTCCTGGCGAAGCTTCAGGCCGCCTTCCCTAAGGTTCTCTAAGAGTACGTACGCCTTCAGATTTTCCGTTCTTACAAAGACGAGACTCAAGAGTGGATCTGATCGAGTTGATTCCTTGATCGGTGTAAACGAGCCCTGTCACATCATGATGTTTGGACTCTTTAACAAATATCTGAAGCGATCGTCTTGGCAACCAGACAGAATCATTTACCTAGACACGGACTCGAAGCAAATATGAATCTCGACTCTCGAGGCACCAACGGAAACCCAGTCACATCAAACGTGCTCGAATCAAGCAGGGCTCGTACTTTTCGGATATCGATGTCTTCGTGCACCCAATGAAACGCTAGTTTGGGTTATCGCAAGATTTTAAACAGCCAATCACTAAGTGGCCCGAGATTCTACAAGAATCTGCTGCCTCAAACAAGTGTGACGCCACGCTTGATGGGCATCCCATAGGCTGTTCAAAGCGGCATGAAAGTCAAACCTGACTCTGCGTATTGATTTATAGCAAACACTGTTTCGGCATGAAAAAGATGCTTCCCCGGCTATTAGTCTCCAAGTCTCAGTGAGGCTTAAGTGGCTGCTGTTTTTGTTGTCGCCACAGAAACTAAAGACGGTCTAGAGCCCGCCTGCCAAACTCTTCACTGACCCCATCCGTGAAGCTACAAAACGATATCATGGCCCGTGTTCAAGCTCTGGAGGAACAGCCCAAGTTCGAGGTTGAAGACGCATGGAACCTTCTGAAGGACCTTAAGGGCAGGTTTTCAAACAGCTTAATATCCGTCTGCAACAAAAACGGGTTGAAGTTTGACTCTGCTCTTCAGGAGCTCTGGGCGGCAAGCATCAAGAGATACACGACATATTCGGAGTGGGAGCAAGCGGAGGGGTCCAAAGCTTTGGGTGGGTATGACTTGGAGGCCGCTCTTGAGGGGCTCAAGCTCGGCGCAGCAGAAGAAGGCGTCAAAGAGGAGGCAAGCGGCGCAGAGGTCAAGGCGCGCAAAAACACGAAGGAAAAAGGGGTTCTGTATTTCACAGGGCCGCAGTGCAAACCCGCAGTGCTTTCAAGCATCAAGGAGGCCAGAAAGTCGATCCATGTCATCATGTACCTTTTCAATGACGAAGACATCGCTGGAGCTTTGGTCGCAAGTGCAGAGGCGGGAAAAGATGTCTCCGTCATAATGAGCGAGGAAAACTTCAAGGAGAAAGCGCCCGGATACAAAAACGCAAAGTTTTTCCTGGAGAACACCTGCGGTGGGCGCCTGCGGGTAGGTCTTCAGATTGCATCAAGACGGTAAAGTGCGGTCTTGGTTCAGCTCTCTCTGTTTCAGGAACTTGGGCCCGAAGCTCTTCTGTCAATATCTGTATGCTTGGCGCCAGAAAATCCGCCTTTCTCGATTGAGATCCTTTTCGCTTGAACAACATGAGACCACGTCCGCAGAGTCATAGCCAATGAGAACAAATAGAGTGGATTACTCATACAAGGGAGACCTGATGTCATCTCGAGCAACTCAAACGACAGTGATATTGCTAGAGCAAGCCATACTAGTCGCTGACGTCAAGCGTCAACCGCTGGGAATTTTGCTTTGTAATTAGAAATCATCGATGTAAGCACACAGCGCTTAGGATTGTAAAATTATTTGTTTGCTTACGAGCTGTGTCCAGCCGTGCTCAGACAATGAATTCCTGAGATCTCCTGAGATTAATGGTGTTCTGTAGGTGTACCGCGCTGGCACTCCTCCAGGCCATGAGTACGCGTCTATGCACATTAAAGCTCTCGTGGTGGACGAGAGGACTGTCCTTCAAGGGAGCTACAACTACACATACATGGCAGCTAGGTATAATGAAGAGTTGCTCGCTCGTTCCCAGGATCCATGTAAGACTGTTTTGGGTATTTTTGAAGCCCTCAGGGCTGACGCAGGGACAAAAAGGATGCGGCGAAAGGGTGTCAAATAGATTTTGGTGCCTACGCACTAACAGAATGACACAATTCTTTGTATGATATATGGACACCCCCTCAGATAGATTTTGCATGAAAAGGACAGACCTGCAAGAACAGGCATTCAATTAAGCGTGTGGGTATGTACTGGAAGTAGCAATCCTAGAGTAAGATCGGAGGTGCATAAATGCAAGGTTAAAATTCTCTCACAAGGAATTATATGCAATCAGACAGAATCTGGATTAGCCTAGGCCGCATTGGAAAGGTAGGCACAGTACATTCCATCCAATTGCAAGCTAGGGCAGCGCTTTCGGAAAGGCTAGGCTGGTCAGGTTCGATTATCCTACGTCTGGCTGAAGCCCTTCCAAGTAGATCAAAAAGAAACCCTGACGATTGGTCAACTTGATTACAAAGATTGAAGTTGTGAGACAGTCGTACAGGCCGCGTCACTCATCGACTGCATGGATCGGTCAGCCACCTTAAAGGCTATGATATCGCCGTGCGCGAAGCATGCAAACATGCCGACTCGGGTATCAAAATCCAAACATCTGTTGGCATCTGAGCGGTTTACGGTAGCACTAGCCCGCGAGTCACCGTTTCACCACATGTTCCCATTAAGACCTTCCAGCGCTTTGCATACGAGCTGCGGTCTGACATGTCCTTTCCGTGCAAAGCAGCTCAAGGTCCGTTCTCACCAGATCAGATTACTAATTAAGTATACATGCTTTTAGTCTTGCAAGCTTCCTCCCTTGACTGTTTATTCAGATTAAGTCCTGTGAACTTTCCGCAGTGCTATGCTTGAAAGGTTTCCATCGCAAGTAAGAGCAGCTCACTCAAGACAAGTACCCACCTCCCAATAAGCTATCAGTACAACAATATAAGCGTGCTACCATGCTATCTGCCCCACGCGTTCGGGGCCCCTCCCTGTGGCCCGTACCCCTGCCCATACGCCGGCCCCCCCTGGGGCATATTCCCCCCCTGCATATACTGAGGCGTACTCATTCCGCTCCCCTGATATTGCTGAGGGGGACCCCCCTGGCCATAACCCGACGGCGAGCTGGGCTGTTGTCCGTAATACGGACCCCCCTGCGGCTGCGCGGGGGGGTACATTTGCTGCTCGTATTGCTGCTGTTGATACTGCGCGGGGGGGTAGGGGTTCTGCTGCAGGGGGGGCGCGTTGGGCGCCATCGGGTACGGCTTCGGCCCCCCGAAACCGTTGGGGCTCATCTGCGCGCTTTGGGGGGGTGGGTTCTGGGTCATGAGCGCGGAAGGGGACCCCCCTGGAACGTAACCGATTGGCTGCATTTGCTGCGTGGGGGGCGGGGTGATGATGGCCGGGGGGCCCGCGAGGAACGCCTGGGGGGGCTCCTTTTTGAGCTGTCGGTATTCTTGGCAGAGGGCGAAGCAATGGCACCAGAAGTGGGTGCAGCAGTCGCCGCACGGGGACTCCTGCAGGAACCGGGGGAAAGTTTCAGCAAGAGACTCGTCGCAATAAAAGCCTTCTTTTCAGTAAAAGCTTTCGTTTCAGTATGTTGCCGAGAGGGCGAAGTGAAAAGTGTGCAAGGGAACAGGGTCACTGCTTCGAGTGCTGGTTGGAAGGGTGCCGAAGCCAACACGTTTCAACGGTTCGCGCACTCTGCTCTTCGAATTGCCCGATTACGTGGGCTCGACTTGGATGTTGGGACGCGCTACGGTATTTCAGACGATTGACTTGGAAAGCGCCGCTTCGCGTTTTGTCAGCCAATGGTATCTCCGGCAGACAAAGCTCCGTTCGTTATCTTAGAGGAAGCTGCACGAGACGGTAAGTAAGATGGAGCGTGAGAAGAAGAACGGACGCTTCTGCCTCCGGCTCCCACTTGCCCCGAGTGCGAGCGCCAACTTTGGTTTCTTTCGTGGCCGGTTTCGAGAGTCTGTTTCGGAAAGCGCGTAAGACAACGAACAGCACGGAAGCAACGGCTCTTCCAAACGCACACCACTGGACGGGATGCGCGTCCGTCGAAAACCTGTAGGATTGTATCAATCCGGACACGTTCTGGTGCCCTCGCGAGAGCAGAACTTTTTGGGACGATTCCGGACAACTCGCCTTTACGTTGTACTTGGCTCGCAAGTCCAATTTGCGGACCAAGTCTAGGATCGTACCCAATTGGGCACTTTGGACACTTTCTTGGACGCCTTGAAACTGTAGGTAGTCCCCCAGCAAAATCCTCGGACGCTTTCGGACGGCTCAACACCAGGTTGTACTTGGCCCGGATGCGCGTCCGGTACGCGGAGGCCTTTTGAATCTATCACGAGTCCGGCACTTCGGACACGTCGTCTGGACGCCTGTAGCGACACATACAACACCAGCTAACAATGCGAGACATTTTTTAGTTTTCGGACGTCCTCTCGACGTTCCCGGACGGCTCACCACCAGGTTGTACTTGGCCCGTATCCGTGTCCGGTACGCGGATGCGTAGCAGGAGACGCAGCCGACGGCGGTGCAGACCACGTGCATGATGCAGGGGCAGCAGCACTCGCCCTCCAGCTGCTCCACGTTCCAACCAAACACCACGCACGGGCACAGCAGGCCCATGCAGCCTGGAGCGGAGATTGGTGTCAAAGTCTAAAAGTCAGTCGCCCTCACAATTAGCTATTGGAAACCACGAATCAGACACAGCAGGTCGATGCGCTTTGATAGAAAGGACGGTTTTAACATTAGACATTCTCCAGCTGCTCCACGTCCCAGCCGAACACCACGCACGGGCAAAGCAGGCCCATGCAGCCTGGAGCAGGGAATAGTGTCAAAGTCAGTCGCCCTTGCAAGTAGGCAGAAGATACCACGAACCAGGCACAGCGGGTCGAAGTGCGTTGGAAGGAAAGACGTGCTAAAGCCAGTCTCCCTCCGCGGCGGTAGTCTGGATTCTGAGCTCGCCTTTGAGAAGTGAGGTGCACTTGCTCCAGAAGACTCAAGCCTGGTAATTCAGCAAAGAGGACCTTTTAACATCTGGTGCACGCTGATAATGGCCCAGGCAAAATTTGCTCCGGATTGTCTGCTTAAATTTCTGCGATTACGTTCCCAAGCTGACCGATGCGGTTTTCTCTCCCAGCATTTAGTGAAGAGTACCCTTGCTTTTATTCCTCAAACTCAGTCCTAAAGGCTTCCTCCCTGCTTCTCTGGTCTGCCGTTGCAGGGCGCCCTTCAAGCAGCCTGGTAAAATTCAAGAACTCGAAGCCCAGTTGAAACAGCAGGATACGGCACAGGGTAAAAGTGTACCACAGCACAGAAAGCACAAGGTAAATTGTTGGCCAAGCAAAAGAGTGTGGGTAAACCCATACCATACTTCTGGAAAAAGCAGTGACTCTAGAATGAAATGTGAACGGGCTTGTTCTGTGTGAAACAAATCAGCAACAAGGAGCGGAGAGCAGAATTTTGTTGGGCGGAGCGTGACAGCGCTCACAGCTGCAGCAATCCCCGCAGCAGCCACATAGTCCGCTGCTCCATTCCGTTGGAGGAGGGGCGCCAAAGGCGGTCACCGGAACGACACTCGTTGGCTGCGGAGCGACCTGAAACTGCCGTGGGAGTCCCGCCATGGCTTGCGCGGATCGGTGCCCACTTTCTGACGATTGAAGGCTCTTACTTCGATACTATGTCAGGTGCAATACGTGGGCGCTGAATAACTGTGCGGAGAGATTTGCCTCCTGTATCAGGCTTTGTTTCCTTGGTCTTATCTCCTTGTTTGCTCACGAGAGTCCTCCTTCTCTGCGCCGCGGCTTCAAAAGTGGATGAGTAAATTTGACAAGCACCGGTCGTCTCAAGGATCGTGTCATTTACCATGCTCCTTGTGATGCTGCAAGGAACGAGGCCAGAGTCTTTGTCAAAAACTCTGTTTAGGAGAGCGTGCAAAGATTACCTGACACTACCGAAATTCTGGTCTCTTTATTAATTTGAAGCCTTTCAAGTTTACCTCAAAATCGTGGAAGGAGGCGCGCAGGGTCTCAGGATATTGGCAGACCTTGACGTCAGAGCGAGGTTTCTGCGTCAGAGACGTTCGACCAAATCTCCTGAAGTTTGATGCGGATCTTCCCCGCCGCACTCAACAAAAACCCCCTCAGCGCCTCTGGTTGGATCCGGAGCACTTGAGTACTTGCCTGCCCCACGTTAGCTGTACACGATCACCCACCTAGGTACCTTTTATAGAGGGCGGCCGGCCCGCTGCACGAAGGGGGCATCAAGTTGCAATTATGTCCAAGTGCGCGTCGTGCAGCATGACCATCATTTTGCTAGGTATCACTAGTAGTAGCTAGCCGGGCGTATGGCAATGCATGTGCTCGTCAAGAGTCAAGTACTCCAAGTTCGACCAGAAGGCTCCCGCGCCCCCTGGAGTACTGCTTTTGTACCCTGCCGGTAACACCGATTCTCTCATTCACCAGATTATACCGTAGTGCGGTAGTAATACTAGCATTACCTTAGCACTAGCATTGTTAGCATTTTACAAAATCCGCACTGAACCGGACGTCGTGCAGTGGTATACGGAACTCGCTCGAAGAGCATGTTTGCGCGCGCACAGCAGCCGTAGCGGTTACGCACCGTCGACTCGGGATCTCCGCTCGTCGCTCGACGGCTTTGAGAACACCGGTATCTGGCTGGCGCATGCAGTACTCAGCCTACACTGAACTGAACAGTTGTTTCTGGATTCTTCACCTGCTGGTCAATCTGCCTGCACTGATGTCAGACGTTGTCTTCAAAGGCTCAAGTTCGAGTTCAAGTTGCCTCGATCTCACAGCTGGGCAGCCTCAAGTAAATACAATGCAATACCAAACCGCGCACTAATTGTTGACGGTCCCATTGATGGCCCGTTGTTCGCATCACTGATCATCTACTGCACGCGACTGGCCATGGAAGCGGATCTGCGTCATTCGATATACAAAATTTAGCGTGTCTGACCAGAGGCAAGCAAAGATTCAAAGCAGTGGAACTCTCGACGAACCAATGACCGCCCCCGAAGAACACCTAGCGATAATCCATCTCGAAATCCTTGTGCGCAGCAGGGTTGCTCATCAACGTCCAGCTAGCTGATCGACTCTTGAGTTTCTGCTTTGCGTATCTGCACCTTTCTGTTCAGCTGTGACAAAGACGTGTACATAGATATGCAGTGCAGCCGGGCGGGACAGAGGCCGGCCGCGGATATGCAGGTTTTAGTTAGTAACAAAAGGACCCGTTTTTGCTCGTAGCCTGCACCAATTCTAGTTGCTAGCTAGATCTGCTAGCTGGCAGCTAGCTAGACCAGCCTGGGTCAAACTTCTGTGTGTCGATGCACAAATTACCAGCAATGCATAGCACGTTTTGCAAAAAACTTCAGGAATATTTCAACACCTTCCGAGCGCAGAGAAACGTGTGCGCGCCACACTGGCGGAAGTCCAATATTAGCAACGAAATGTAACAAAGATCTTGTCCATAAATCATGTAACGTACGAGCTGTCGTGCTATGCACGGCTGCAAACTGCCGTGCTGGTGGCCAGTCCCTATAAGATGCAGCCTGCAATAATGCACTTATTGGAGCGAGCCCATTCTACTCCATTGCATCCACATCCTTTTTGTTCCGACATCGACGAGGAGTCGATCCCGGGATGCGCAGCGGATCCTTGATCCTCAGTGCCACGGACTGGTAGCTTTTACGAGTTCCAAGAAACATTGATGCAAATGCCAGCAAGTCGACTATGTGAGATTAAAAAAGAGCAAATGAGTGCCCCAGCAACTTATCAATTCACATATGTTTTCTGGCCATTGACATAAAAGCGATCGTTATCTACCTTTCAGAACTATATATACATCAGCAAGTCCCTTCTGATTTTGACACCAATATGCTTGTCGACTAAGTCCTGGACAAGTCAAATTGCCGGCACCGGGACAAAATTACACTGTCAATTGAGAGATGCTCTCATCCGAAATCCTTCTCTCTCGAGACCTTAGCCACCCAATGTTTCAACACCAGCTTTTCTACGATCTTTCTAGGGGTCCTTTCATGCAGCCTTGTTTGCCCGAGCCTGAAGTACAGGTGTTTCTTAGAGCGCTCTGAGCTTTCTACACATTTCGATCGCCATATGTACGTTCCAGCGGATGTAGGAATAGGTCCATGTTTCATGACTCTCTTGCTGAGGAGGATCCCTCGACCTTCCCCAAATGACGTTCTTGGCTTTCCCTGCTTTCGTACGCTTTCCTGCATATCCTCCTCGCCACTCTGCCTTGGCCAGAAAATCTGGTCCAAGTCCACCTCCCTTGTCTTCTAGTCCTGATTAAAGGTAGCAAAAATCGCAACTTGCCACCTGTTCTTAAGCTGCACACAGGACTACTTAGGCTAACCCGAGATCTCTAAGCGTCCCCCACTTTATGCTGCTCGACATTATTCTATCTCGAGCTCCCTGGTATCTTCCTGGCGGGAAGTCTTAAGCTTTTCAGTTCCCGCCTAGTTTACACTACTCTTGAGGCGTCCCCGCAAATCTTTAGGCGTCCCCCACCTTGTGCTGCTCGACATAATCCATCTCTAGCTCCCTAGTATCCTCCTGGCGGGAAGTCTTGAGCTTCTCGGCCTGTCGCCACGAGGCGCACTCCGTAAACCACGTACACAACGGTGGCGATGCCCGCCCAGATTGCGAAACGGACGTACGAATCTTTGTCTAAAGTGCCCAGCAGGAAGACGTTCAAGAGCATGGAAGCTGCAATGAGGGGGACGTAGAATAACGAGTGAGCTCAGGCAGTCTTTCTTGACAAGAGCGGTCGCTCTTGAGTTTACACGTGATGAAGTTTTACTGAGGCACTAAGTTGACGGAAGTATTGCGAGATAGGGACCCTGAGCATCTGATGTCGTGAAGTGATGAATCCAAACGTGTACTGGCGCTAGCGGACGGCGGAAAGAAACAGCATGGGCGGCTTGCAAAGCGTAAGGCGTCGTCGAAGATCGAAAGGTTTCCTGCTGTTGTTTCTAAAAGACTCTGAACACCTGAAGCCCGTCGATCAGGAAGATGGATTTGCTTCCTTCTCCAACAGTGGGCAGAAAACTTATGATCTTCCAAGGACTAAAACAAAGCTTGCTCCGCTTGAGAAAAGATTTGTGACGGCACGATGACGTTGTGCTTACCGGAGGCCAGCCAGGACATAAGCGGGCATGCCCAATCGTCGGAGCGGCAGACGGTGAGACACGTCAGCGGCAGGAAGAGCGTCGCGGCCGCCCACGCGCCCGCGAAGGCGGCGATGCCGTACCAGCTGGCAGAGGAAAGGGAGCGGAACCTCAATCAGCTCTATTTCGAGAAAGCAGCCGGACTATATGTTATGCGAACTTAATAGCACAAAATCCCATTGGCAAACGTGAAGGGAAGCAGTCAGTCCGGGAAGAACTTTGAGGGATCAAGAATTGATCGATTGGAGGAGAGGACAATATCGTATGGAGCGCCATTCATCTAGTAAGCGCAATGTCGCGGCGCCAATGGGAAATTTCGGAAACTAGCTGTGGCTGTGCAAGTTTTCAGTGATTTGTGCTCCAGAAGGATTGCATTCAGCATCTTATGAAATTAGTAGGCGGCAATTGTGTGATTATCTGCCGCAAAGGAGCACCTTGGCATGTTAGTACGTAGGAGACTGAGTGCGCACACAGCAAATGTAGGGACGGCACGTCGAACCCGTCAGCGACAGCTCGGCATATCACGACATTTTCAATATAAGCTGCGACTTGCACTGCGGACCAATTCAAGGTGTCCGAGCCCGAGCATACCTATACAGCACTTCAGGCCCGACAAGTTCGACAACTTCGACACAACGAGCTCAGAGAAAGCCCAACATGGCCGCCGTACATATTAGACAAACGCTAAGCAATCCTAGCGAAGGTCACGAGTCCGCGCGTGGCGGCAGCATGCCCATGATCTCTAGCTTCCTCCCGATATCTTCCATCAAGTCATCGGGCTCTTCGTCGAGCTCCCCGTCCTTCTGGTCCAGCCAACTGGGCGCCTTATACAGCTTGAGGCCTTTCTCTTCAAACTGTTTTGCCATCTCCATATACTCGAGCTTCTTCCTCCGCTTCGCCTCTTGCCGCCGCTTCATCTTCTGGTACGTGCCCTGCCGAGACAGCAGGAGCGCCCGCCCCCTGGTCCAGAAATGACAGAAATTTTAGAGAATGTTTCTTCTGCTCCTCTTGTCTGTTCCAAGCTTGGCTGGTCGAATAGGTAGCTCCTTAATCAGCTGGTTGATCACGCGAACCTTATGTAGACAAGAGAAGACGCTTTGGCGAGGGTCGTCTTGTGAAGCCGAGACAAGGACAGGTGAAGTCGCCCATGAAAGCGTGCTCTGCGCTGTGCTGCAAGGATCTTTTACATGCACAAAGTGGTGGAATCCTCCATCAAAACTTGATCCAGCTCTATAAAGGGTTCCAGCGAGAATTGACAGAGATAACAATCAACCAGAAGGAAAGTCAGGCAATCTTGAAGACCGAAGCCACCAAACGGAAGATGCGTCATCCTGCTTTCTGCATGCCACCCCCATCTGCTATCCCGACACTTTTCAGCTACCCAAACCCCTGAGTCACCAGATTAAAGTCCGTCCCCAAATTTCGACCACAACCTCAAACCCGAAACCCGAAACCCGCAAACTTCCCCACCGTCGGACTGCTTGTTGCATGCCGTCCAGTCCCGTCACCCTCTGCAAGCCGTTCGAACCGAAGTCTAAAACCCAAAACCCCTAAACTCTCAAACCCTCAAATCCTCGAACCCTCGACCCCTCAGACCCTCAAACATCAAACCCCAAACCCTCAAACGGAAACCCCAAACTCGCCCACCTCTTATGGTACTCGTCCGCCTGCTTCTTGCGCGCCGCCTGCTCCTTCTGCTCGAAGAACCGCCGCTGCCGCTCCTCGCGCGCGCTCACTTCCTCGGGGACGAGCGGCGCCGTTTTAGGCTGAGCCCACCCGGGCACAACCTGCTGCGGACGGCCGGGGGCGGACAGAGGTTCGGACGTCCGGAAAGTGCCCGGGGCAGAGGATTCCGACGTCCGCCGGGCGCCCGGAGCAGCCTGGTAGAAGCTGCGAGTGGTCACGCTGTCGTCAGCGTCCGCATCTGCAGGAGAGTTCAAAGCTTTATAATATCGTCGGCCACTTCGTTGTCAAAGATAAACAGGACTCGCTCCGTCATTTTCTTCAAATGTGTAAGGGGGAGATGCAAAGATTTGTGCAGATGTTATGTTCCTGGAAGAAGCCGTTCGAAGGGTAGTCGTACTTTCAAGGCCTTGTATCGACTGTGCTTCCCACTCTGCTTCAGCGGACTCGGCGTTTTCGCAGCAAAAGCAAAGCGAAGTTCCTGCTCAGAAACGACCTGCGAAGTTTTAGAAGCAGGGTTCAACAGCACTGATGTGCTTTGGAGATTCTCTGGTTAACCAAGAGAGGGAACCACTGGTGTCTCAAGTACTCAGGAAATCTACTCATATTATGACCGCCATATCATTGCTTCAGGATAGGATTTGCTGGCCTCGAGTATGACGAATATCCAACTAGCAGTCCAGCATGAAGTCGTGGCCAATTAAATTTTGATTCTTCTGACAAAGACCGAAGTCAACTCACTCTGGCCGGTACAATCTTCTCAGACGTCACGTTGAATTCCTAATTTCCGGCTAGGCAAGCTGAGGAGACATTTACAAACACAGCATTGACTTCTACTGGCTCGCACCGCTGTCACGATACCGCTCACGAAACCAGTGCAGAGACTGCGTGGCATGTGACAGACGACGAGTCTCCGACCAGACGCAATATAATCTCCTGCTTTGCCGTGTTAACAACTCACCGTTCTCGCTCTTCTCTCCTGCATCTCGCTTCCCCTGAAACCCCACGTCATCCCCGAACCACTTCGCCTCACGCCGCGCCCACTCGTCCCCCCCCGTGCCGTACCTCCTCTCTGGAACCCCGCGCATCCCCCCCGTTTTGACAAAGTCTGGGACCTTCCGAACAAACCCTCGGTGCTCAATCCTCTCCGCAAACACCCCCCTCGCCGGAGCAGTTCCCTCGGCAGACGTCCACCCCCCTTCCGGAATTACCGGCTTTGGTCTCCGCTTCCGAGACGATTTGGACGGGTCGTCACCGGTTGGGGATACATTTTCGGACAGTCTTTCGGACTCTTCTGCGAGGATGCTCTCGGCCCCGAGTCCTGCCGCTGTCTCAGAGGCGCCATCCGCCCAACTCTCAGATCGGCTCGGAGTCTCGTTACCTGCTCTTGTGAAGGATCCTCCAGACAGATCCTCGCCCCGTCTACTTGACTCATCACGATGCTGACGCACAACATTCCGCACCCCGTCTCGCCATGCGCGTGCCGGCATCTCTGCCGGTGGCTCCTCGTACCCACCCCTCAAGCCGCCCCGAGGCCCTTCAATTTGGTCTTCCCTGAAGTCTCCCCTGAAACCGTCCTTCAACCCGCCTGAGTTGCTCCACGCCCTCGTACCCTTCCCTCCAGAAACCTGGGGCCGTAGATCAGTCTCTGGCCCACAGATACTGTCCATGATCTCTGCAAGATCATCCCTGCCCGCAATGCTGTCATTCCGTTCCGTTTTGCTTCCCCCAGAAAATGCTGTACCATCAGACCTCCCCCGCAATTGCTCCTCTCGAAGAGGCTCTCGCGGCGTCCCCTCTGAATCCCTTCCCTGTACTGACCCCCTCCGCTGGCGCATCACCTCGTCATCCCATGCCGCCTCCCCTTCGCCCCCTCCCTCCCATGAAGACGCCCCCTCACTCGAAGTTTGCCTAAACCGCTCCTCTCGCCCACCTGAACTCCTTCCCTGGAACCCCCCCCGCGTTGCGCCTTCCCTCCGCCGCAGCGAAGCCCCGTCCCATGCCAACCCCCCTCTCCTCCCGTCGTATTCATCCCCGTACGACGCGCTCCCACGTCCGCCCCCACCCCACCAGCTGCGCTCCTGCATGAGCGCTTCGTCCCTCCGGCGTGCCTCCTCTCTGCTCAGAACTGTCCTCTGCGGCCATTGCGCTGGCTCAGGCCCTGACCGCCTGGCGCTGTCAGACAATCCCGACGCCTGTCCTTGAGCGCGTTCCCTGCCCGTCCGCCTTCTCTCTCCAACACGTTCGTTATTATTTCGGGCAAAGGAATCTTCAAACGGCGCGTTTTGGTGCCGCCCCCGCGAGTGCCCCCCGACTCCTGTGCTGCCCCTGTTCTCAGAAATGCTGCGCGGCTCGTCCCATTCGCGACCCCCGAACTGTATCTTGCGGGGGCTTGGAGAGGCTGGCCCGTCCCCCGCCCTCGTCTGAGCATCTCGAGCATAGCCAAACGATTTCTTTGAGGTGACCGGGAAATCGTCTTCATCCTCTTCGTCCTCTGCAGTGACGCGCGAGTTTGTCAACACTGATTCGACTTACTGTAGTGACTGGCAAAAGCGTGTTCTGGGAAGCATCTCTGGATCAATGGAAGGGTCGTGCTCATATCATAATCAGAATCGACCCCTTGAAACCCAATCTAAGTCGAAACTCCCTGTTTGGATAAGTCAATCAGAGTGAGGGCGCAGCAAGAGGAAACGTGACAGCGACCCATAGAATGGTGCCACAATAGCTGTACCAATCATATTGTTATTAAGCATTTCAAGAGTTTGTCAAAAATAACTCCGCAATCGCACCAGGCCAATCGGCACCGCTCTCCTGACGCTGTTGCACCGCCCTCAGGAGCTCCTCGTACTCCTCGTCCACCGCCGCCAAGTCCGCTTCCGTATACTCCCGCTCTTCCATCAGCGAGTCTTCAAAGTCTTCCCTCTCTCTAGTTCTCTGCCGTTGGGGTGGATTTCCCCCGCTGGTATCACCCCTGCCCTTTCCACCAAAACGTGAACGGCCCCCGCTGACATCAGCGGGCTCGTTAGCTTCATCATCTCTGCTGAGCTCATCGTCTCCTGTGTACACCCAGAACTCTTCTTCTTCCTCCTCCTCTGGTTGCAAACCCTCTCTCGGCCCTCCACTTTGGCCACTTTCAGTAGTTGCTCGGGTTCGTCCATTCCAACGGGGGCTGGACCGGAAGGGCGTAGCTGGTGTCAGGTGGTGCAAGGTGCCGCGAGCTGATGCTGCTTGACACGACGTGACACGTGGCGCCCTTTCAAATTTGGCGGAGCTTCGAACTAGATGAGAAAAGTGCAACTGAAAAGGGACTCTGCCGCTTAAGATGTTTAAGGACAGATTATGCAGGTGTAGCTGCTTGAAGGACAGACGCTGGCTAAAAATTTCTCCTTCGATGCTCTTCGCTGCAGTCACAGGGGATTTTATTTTCAGCGACATCGTGGACGGCATCTTGAGGGTTAATCAGCTGACAGTAGAACTTTGAACCACCAATTTCTTCCAAAGGTTAGGGCTCTACATTGCACAGACACCGAACCAAGTTTCCTTCGTCTTCTCAAGTCCTGCCCTGATCCCCGTATACCTAGCATGTAACGCCAGCTCCTCCTTCAAGTTCACTGTTCGAAAGTCCTCGTGCGCCTGCATGCCAGGTTGCTCCTTCCAGCAATATCGAACTAGGGCGGGCCGTTGAACGGACTCCGGTAATGGCTTGGTTACCAGACTTCAGTATCGCTAATGCTTTTCATTGCTTCTCATATGACACGTGGTACTACACTGCAGAAGACTGAAGTCGGCCAATTTCCAAAGCTAGTTGACCTGACGAAAACGAAAATTCTTCGAATAAATGATTTCAGCTGGCGCCCTTTGCCAGTGCCATTGGCAGCATTGCACTGTTTTTTTGGCCATCACGCCAGGATCAAGCCACAATATGTGGCACAATTATTAGGCTGTTCATCCTTGGAAGTAGTGCTTTATGGCGTCTTCGCTGTCAGCTGCTGCCCAGCCCTGCTGCTTCCTTGAGACTGGAAGCTTCTTGAGCCGGAGTGGAAAGTCAGAAGCAAGACGAGGCAATCTGTTTCCAGCTCACGTAAGCGCTGGTCTTGGAGCATTCGGTTCTGTAATATCCGCTGAGGGACAGCCTTTTATCAGGCTTCGAGAAGGAAGAGAAGCACGGTTATGGAGATCCTCAAGGAGGGTCATCAGAGTAGTTGCTCAAGTTGGTTCTGCTCCTGCAAAGACAGCCACCCCCGCAGAATCAGACCGTTGGTGGTCCTCTGACACAATTGCTGTAGTAACTGGTGGCAGTAAGTCTAGCATTGGGCTGGAGATTGTGCGGAAACTCAGCAAGGAGGGTGTCAAAATCATTTTCACCTCTAGGAGTGGTAAGTTATTGAACACCTTCTTATGATTGCATAGGGCTGTCCGTGCTCAGGCACACAGCACGATATCTCAGGTCGGACGTCGACGATTTGCTAAGATCATCATCCTTTTTCTTTCTTCATAATTGTTCATGAAGGTCTGTCAATAAGGAACTTTTTTGTGTGCTAGAAGGCAGGGAACTTCATCATGAGGTACCTCTCAGCAGAAAGTTTGCGTCGTCAACTTGCAGATAAGACGGGCCGTGAGGCTCTGGAGAAGCTGAGGTCAGAGGGCGTTGACTCTGTTGAGTTCCATGAGCTCGACATCACCAATCAGCAGTCGATTGATGATTTCGCGAGCTGGTTGCAACAGAAGCATGGCGGTCTTGACATTTTGGTGAGTCTTGCCTGAAGTCGTTGTCATACTGGAGAAAATTCAACTGACGGACATCGAAGAAAAGTACATCACATTTCATCTGCCAAGCTGCTCGATCGGTCTTTCGTTTGTGTGGATTTTGACTGATAGTAAACGGTGCTGGGGGGCTTTCATACCAGTCCTGTTGTTGCAACCGCCATCAAGACTACTCATGTGGCAACCTTTCTGTTGCCGCAATGAATCTAGTTGATGAAGGGCGTACTACATACATCTTTCTTGGGTGTTCTTATTGGACCAGGGGGGTCGGACTTCATTTTTGGAAGTGCGCACTTTTCAAATGGGATTTGCCTGAGAGACCGACGTTCACAGGATCATGCGCCTGCACTGCTGGGATCAGAACGTGGCAACTCGAAGCAGGCTAAGAGCTAACCTGAATATAGATCGGGGAATCTCGAAGCAGGTTAGTAAGAGTAGTAGCGTGCAGTCCCATCAGAAAACTCGAATTAACAGTGAACCACATCCAACATATCGCAGGTCAACAACGCTGGTGTCATGGTCATCTCTGCTATTGGCCAGCCAGCATCATACGACGTTGTCAAACTCAATTTTGACGTCAACTACTACGGAACCAAGCGGTTAACAGAAAAGCTGTTGCCTCTCCTCAGAAACAAGTAAGCCGCTCTGAGAGAGGCAGAACCAGGGCAGCACCTTCTTTGGCAGGTTGTCAGCGTGACGTCAGCTTATCCAGCCTTTTAGCGCGGCTGGTCGAGGTTTGCTCTGCCGAAGTCTTTGCGGAAGTGGAGATTGATTCATGTATTATCCATCGTGTCCCTCACTTCCGTCCGCATCAGCTTGCCAGCGATTTGCCGCCAAATCGCCCTCTGCGAAAGGATTCTCCCAGACATACTTGTCGTTCTCCAGACAGCTCGGTTCATTCGTTTGAGGTGCAAAATCTGAAAGCGGCGTTCTCCGAGCATTACTCTGAAGCCCCGACAGCTTCGAGAGTTGATAGTATCCAGAAATCTTGTTGGAGCAGCTTTTGTCAGCAGTCGTCTTGCAACCCTTCACAGCTCCTGGAGTCACCACATAAGCTGATTTGAGAATCTCAATCAACGCACTCCTAGTTGAAAAGATACACGAAGATCTTTTGAAGAATAAACAATCTTTTGCAGTCCTGCTGGCGCCCGGGTGGTGAACGTGTGCTCGCGCATGGGTGCTCTTAAAAACATAGGGCCGAAGCTGCAGCCCAGGATTTCCGACCCTGACTTGACATTTGAGGACCTCGACGCACTGGTGGCTAAGTATCTAGACGACGTAAGTGTCAAATCTCGTGAAGAGACGGCGTTCGAGAGGTTCTTTTCATGTACTTGACAATCAGGACGCTTGGTAGCCAGGTTGGGAACACTTGAGAGGGGGATGAGAATTACGTGTCCCAGTGCAAGGCTAACCGGCACAACTTACCAGCGATGCAAAACCTCTGCAAATTTCGACGGTCGGCTCTAATCGACACAAATAATTCGCGGACGAAAGTCGACGGCTTAACTCGATCAGCACTCAAATCTGTGACGATCCTTCTGATCAAAGGATAATGTTCAATGCAGTGCCCTAGGTATCTCGGAACTCTCTTGCAACCGCTTTAAGTGCTCCCGTCTTCTTTTTGATCTTAGCCAACGACGTTCTCTAATCCTTTCAAAAGTTTGTCCCGTTTCAAGCGCTTAACGTTTCCGGGTTGCTTCGCCTTTCATAGGGTTTTGGCGGTTAACCATGGTCGGTACGGGCTGGTTAGACGCTGGTTATATGTCCAATGACCACTCTCAGGCAGTTATTGGACCTTCAACATGGTTACAGCCCGGTTATCAATCAAAGAAGCAAGTTCAATCTTGGTTACTGAGCCTGGTTAACAGCCGAATCCTTCCTGTGTTCCTGTGCAGTTAAAAGCCGGTCGGCCCGTGGACGAGGGATGGAACAAGAGCGCCTATGCAAACTCCAAGTAAGCCGGCGCTTGACCGGTGTCGGGCAGGGTTTTCACCAATTTGTCTCGTTTTCTCGTGCAACGGGGGTTCAGAGCTCTGCAAGTCTTTTGATCTGGAATATTGTTCAAGTTGCCGAGCAGTTACAATAGATTTGACAGCAAAATCACTCCTGGTCAGTCTCAGTCTTGTAAGCTCTGGTAGACGAAGAGCGGCTGTCTCACTTCCGATACAAAAACTGGCATTTGGCGGACCACGATTACTCTTATCCGCTCAACAGCGTGTGGTCCTAGAATTCTGTGCTTGTCCCTGTGTCCGCGTCCGCTTCAGCGCAGCGGAACATGTAACTTGTTTGGTGGAGCTTTTCAAAGATGATTTCGGACTGGCGGCCAATTTCCTTTCAGGTTGCCATGCCACTGACAACTGGTGTCGGATTGGCGGCCAGTTCCTTCCTTTGAGGTTGTTAATCAAGCTTGCTTCCCGTCCCAAGATTATCTGACAGAACCTTCGGCCTTAACCATCTGATCGGGGTTCGTTTTCCCGTTTCTTGTCCTCGTTTCAACCTGAAACTTAAAAGCTTTTCGAAAAGCCCGAATGCCTTTAAGAATCCTAAAACCACTTTACCGACCCACCTTGCAGCAGGTGGCCGTCGCATGATTTCATTAACCGACAGCATCGACTTGTCCCTCACGCAACCAGAGCGCGGCACCAAAAGGATCCGGCCGCCGCTGACGTGTTGTTTGGCCCTGCAGGGTCGCGGAGGCTGCGTACACGCGCATCCTGGCGCGCGATATTGAGGCGGCCGCGGGAGGCAAACCCGTGTTAGTGAACGCGGTTTGCCCCGGGTTCTGCAGAACCGACCTCGGGAACCCGCACCCGGAGAAGAAAGGTGGGCAACGATATCTCACTCTTGCTATGATTCAGGAGCCACCGCTTGCTAACATTGATATTGCTCTCTTCGCAGCAAGACACCCAAAGGATTTGACGAAAGAGGGTCTAAATTCAGGCGAGAGAGTGCGTCCCTATCAAAGTGCCCCGTTTGTTCCTTCGACTTGTTTATCCAGACGCCGTCACCAGAAGGCAATCAGTGATCGCGGATGCATCTCCTTTAAGTTCCAAAATAACTCTCTGACGGAGTCCGTTGTGTGCGCTTGAGTAAGTGCACCACGACCGAAAGACTGTGCTTTGGGCACAACTTTGCGGGTCGTGAGCGTATCGCTTCCAAACGGGAAATTGCTTCAAACCGGGACGCATCAAGTTCTCCCGAATCCCCTAGAATCCTGTCAGCCAACAATTGCTTTGCAAGCGCAGGAGATTTCCGAACTGCACTCTCGTTGACATTCTTCCGGACAGCCCGCGATATCGTTGGTGAGCGCGCAAGCTTTTGACCTCACAAGCTGATCATTTTCGATCCTTGACTCCGCGTCACTTGCCGTTCTCTCGTCGTATGATTTCGCTGTCACAATATGCTTATTAGCCGGACTGAAGAATGCTTCATTTGTCCTCATTGGCGAACCCATTTCACATCTTCGCTCGTTCATAGTGCCTGAAACGACGTGTCGCATGAGTCTTCGCGGCTCAGGAGAATTCGCAGTTTACTCTTTACTTTACCTACATTTCGGATGCAACTCGTTGTTCCGAAGTTTGTGCTGGTCAGGCTCCTTTTATGGTCGCCTCGATGTAAAACCTATCACTGTTTCTAAGATTGTCGTCCAGATGGTCGGGAGAATCTTTTCTGTATTTGGATCTGATTTATGCTTTGTGTCTCGATGCCTCGTCTCCGCTTATGCCTCGTTGCCGCTTATGCCTTCTGCGTCTCGTTGTGTAGCACCTAAGTCAGCGGAGGAGGGCGCCGATACTCCAGCCTGGGTTGCCCTAGCACCGCCAAACAGTGCGAATGGTGCCTTTTTTAGTGATCGAGAAGATGTGGGCTATTGACTGTTGATCAGTCGCATTTGTGTAATCATATACCTTCAAAGTAAAGAAATAAGTTTGTACAAAGAGCTTTTGTGTAGGATAATAAAACGTTGAACGGGTCGAGGTGTTGTGTTGCAAGCCGGGCTTCCATTGATACTGTCTCCTTGCTGAAACAACTGTTATCACGTTCCAGCTTGGCAATTAGTCGATTGGTGAATTCGTCATCTCAGTGCCGTCCGGGGGTGCTCTTGCACTCCATCGAGTAGCAAGGTGATAAGGAATCTCTTTAGGTGCTGCATCATATGCTAACTAGTTACTATCTGTTATGCAACTTTACTTAGCCGCCCTGCTACAGTTGTCGAGACGGTAGCTCGCATGTGCATGTGCAGCCGGCATATGCATTTTAGGTTTCCTGATCAGGATTGGTCATAGATTACCTATCACGTACCATGCAGTAACAGCTCAAATTTGCATGATTCAGAATGCCTGCACGTGCATCATGCATGCCGGTCACTCAAGTCTTCTACGGGACTTGATTTCTCAGTCGGCGCCTGATGCAACCGTCCTTTCGCAATCAGCGCACGGGCCCGCAAGACATACAATGATGGCCGTAATGCAATAGAGGATTGATGATTGAAGGAAGCGAGTAGGCGTCCATAAAATTAAGTCTACCTGGCAACAGGCCTACCTAGCCAGCTTCATACTTCGCCCGCTACTTCTTCGTCTGGCACGCGCAGTCCTTTGATACAATAATGTCAGTGTACGAGGACCTCTGATTCTCCAGAATACGAGCAGACCAATGGGCGTCTCAAGTTCGGCAACCTTTGCACCCGTTCAAGTGCATACTTTACAAATGGAACGCCGACGTGTCGTTGTTCGCTTCCGAGTTTCTGCTTGAACCTCATTGTCGTTGATGCAATCAACTCACAAAATGTATACAGACTATAGCCATAGCAGTAAGCAGCTAGCCGCCGACACACTTGCGAGGTGCGGGCACGCGTTGTATTCTACGCACAATTCAGGGGCCTGTCTCGGACGCAGCATATGCAGAGCGCTCTCCAAGTCATTGCTGGTCATTGCCCATATCAATCTTACCAACTCGCGCGGGCCGTTCATATTAACCCGAGCTCTGCCTATCTTTGCGCCGCAACACAAAATCGCAGCAGGGAGCTCCGTCTGCCAGCGTTGTTGGACGCGAGAACTCGATGCCGTGTCTGGCTGGCGAAACGTGATCAAACCTGTCGGCGAAACCAAAGGTCGAGCAACGTTGGTTCGAGGATCATACTCAGCAAGTAATTTTCTGCAGGTGTACTCAAGTTCACAGGCCGCACTAAAATGAGAGCATCCGATCAGGTTTTTTTAAAGCAGATACTGGTGACACGTGCAGATTCCGGGTTGAGTCAGGGGGCCAACCCAAAGCGACGTGCACGAAGCTCTCATTGGAAGGCCCGGTTTCCTTGTGCTCATCCTCATCTGCGATAATCAGATCCATTCGCGCACATGCGACTACCTTATTATCCAACACGATCTCCCGAATATTTTCATCTGACTGAGTGATTATGATTTGAAACCTTGGCTGACCCTCACCACATTCTGTCGAACGCACAGAAGAGCCGCGTCAGGTCCGGTACCCCCTGTCGTTCAAAGAACGTATTGTAGAGGCAACGAGTCACCTTGAGACTGTGGAACCTGCAATTGGGTAACGGTTAGAAACGGCGTGAGCTGGTAAGCCAATTCGACAAAGTAAGCGAAAGGTCCGCAAAATGGCAGAGGAATCGTCTGCACTACTTTATACAGAGAGGCAGGCGCAACAGCAGAAAGAGCCTTTGAAACTCCTCTGTCGTCTAAGATTCGGGGTTGAGGAGAAGGATCTGAAGATGACGGAATTCGATGCGTTCTCTGCAGGAATCGGACAAACGAGCTTGACAAAGACGGCAAAAAGGCTCAAATTCCAGCCCAAACCGATCGCAGGAAAACGGACCAATTGAATGTTCGCGGCCTCAGATCGAGGGAATTTTGAAACTGGCCAGGAGTAATGTCATGTTGAGTACAAGCAGGGTACACGTATGGCGTCTTCCAAAGTAGCGACCAAAAACACCAAGACGATTGCAATGGTCTTGGCTTCTCAGGAGTTGGACCTTTCAGGTGATTCTTCGTAAATCGCTTGCTTGCTTGAAGGCTTGACCGCATGCCTCTACGAATCGCTACGAATTGTGCTGTCCAAAACCCTGATGGATCGAAGCTCGATTAAACTCAAGTTCTCAAGAGATGAGACTGTCTGGTGCAGAGATCGTTGGCACCTCTCTGGCCGATTGCCCGATGTGGGTTCTCAAATAAGAGGAGCGAAAACAAAAGCCCAACAAGTGCCCTGACTCGCTTTCTTCCAACTCCCTTTATGTACAGCCGTCTATCCCTGAGCCAGAAACACCGTTCTGACGTCATCCAGAGTCAACCAACTTACCCCAGTTCTTTGTGCTCTTCTGTTTCAAACGACTTCCCAAAGTCTCGCCCCAGGTACTCAAGCCCCCGGGAGACGTGCGCAAACTTGTCAAAAGACAGGAAGAGCACAAAACGGCTCATGAAGTTGAGCGTGTCTGCTGCAGCCGCCCCGATCGGCTCCTTGATGAGGTCAGCGGTGACAGCGCGGTTGTGTGCAAAGTGGGGAAGGAGGGTGCGGTATGATGCGAGCGCAAGAGAGGCCATCTGGCAGGGGTTAAGCGAGGGGGTTAGGAGTGGTTAAGACGAGGGCAGCATTTTCTTCTGAGCCAAGGAGAGGATTACAGTGACACAAGGGGTTCCTGCAAGTCGCGAACATAGTGGAAAGTGACCGAAATAGATTCAACATAAAGCGTTGTAGGTTTGAAGGGTATGCAAGCTGTTTGGGGGTAAGGTGGGAGTTCTCAAAGGAAGCTGGAGAGACGTGCTTGACAGAGTGTTTGAAGAAAACGAGTTGCTTGCAAGACAGACTCTATCAGTCCTGGTGGAGTGGGTTGACTAATCTGAAAACTTGACGCTCAATCTGATAACGAATGCTAATATCCTGCGCCATGGGTGGAGGTAGACACTTCCCCCAGGAGAGCAACAAGATAAATAAGATTGACAGAGGTCACTCCACTCCACCAGATGGATCTCTCAGAAGCATCATGATTTGGCCTCTGATCAAGAAGCAGAGGCAGGTCACATACAAAGTGTAAAATTGTTATGACGACTTCAAAGCTGATGAGAAAACCCGTTTGGTGGATGTCCAGTAAGTACTCGCGATTCACAAAGTACAACAAAGCGCATGGGTACTGTCGAAGCTTACCTGCAAGTGAGATGCCCCTCGACTATCTTTCGCCAGATCACCATGCCTCTTCAGAACCTCTTCGTAATTCTCTTCAATCTGTCTCATCACACTCTCCACACTGCCCTCAAGCTCAGGGGCGGTCTTCAGGACGTTTTCCAACGATCGCAGGTACGCTTTCTTTGGAATGTTTTCAAGACGAGCTGTTGCTTTCAGCTTTACAAACTCCAGGTATTGCTGCACTTTAGAAGGTGGTTGCGCACTGTTTCCAGCGTTGGAAGCAAAATTTCGTCTAGGGGCAGAACCAGATTGAGCTCTCAACAAAGGCTGGAGAAGAGGTCTGTTCAGGCCACAAGATTGCGTTCTCGTTGATTGTGGACCACCAGCATCATATGCTGCGTGAAACCTACTTATCCCTCCCGTTCCTATCTCCTCCCGCAACACCGGGCACACCACCAATTCATCACTGGTGCTTTTAACTGATATAGCAAGCTCAGAAAAAAAGTAAGGGAACTGCCTAAGGATACTTTGCGGCTTTCCTCCGCGGCAGGGCACGCAGAACCTACGGAAGGCTTTATCCATAATCACCGACTTGCGCATTGGAAGGGGATGATTCGTGGTGGCGCCGCAGCCCCTCCGTTTTCGAAATAGAATGACGGGCAATCTCTATGGTTCAAAGATCCTCACGTCCAAATTGCTCCTGCCACTGGTGTGCCAATTTTGCAATGCTGGAAAAGGCTTCTTGGCCCCAAGGCCCTGGGCACAGTTGGAATGTGCAAGAAAGAAAACGAAGGAAAAACATGTGTGATAGGAACGTGTAGAAGAAGACTGAGCTTCATGTGGGATTTGAACCCACGACCTTTCGCTTACGAAGCGAACGCACTAGCCCCTGTGCAAATGAAGCTTGAACCAAAAAGCGCGGGAAATGCTGATTATCCAGTGTGAAAATATATATTATAAATATAAATCCAGATAATAGGGTGCCAACATCTCGCGGCTTCCGAATCTCGCCTGAGGCTGCAGCATAGCAAAACTTCAACCTTCTTTTCAGAAATCAAAGATTCAATGTATTGAAATTTGAGTTGGGAGGAAAG